CCATCACTCCAAAGCATTTCGAATATCACTTTTCCCACCAAGTCTTCCAAGATAGCTCTAACTGGATGCCATCTTTTATTACTAACAGCATATCCGTCATGTCTTCACTATATGATCACACACTTCCTAAGGAGATGCTCAAATTACCTCTGTAATTCTACAACTCTGGTTTTCATAGAATAGGTGCCCAATAAATATCTGTTTAAGTAATGCTTTGTGACCATCTGTCAATAAAAGTGCATATCAATGGTATGATTATTCTTTTTTTCAAAAGTATCTGTGTGTACAATGTTCCCTACATGATACTAAACATTGGCGAAAATGGTCAAAAAGAGGTAGTTCCTGGCTACAAGAACAGGGTAGTCCAAGGGAAGACATGGAAGAGTGGCCCAGGGTGTGCTTAGACACTAAAGGGGTGGTGGGCTCAGTACGAGGATCAGAGGAGCACAGGGCACAGGGTCAGGGAGGCCGCTGGCCCCAGAAGGTCAGGAGCCCGAGGGGAGGATGAGGACTTCGCTCAGTCAGAGCAAAAGGAAGGAAAGCTGTCCCAGAGCAAAGGAGCAATTTGGGGAAGGGTCTTGGAGGCGAGAATTTATGGGGCACAGATCTTGAGACAAGGGCTGGCTTCTCAGAGGCAAGCCAGCCTGGAACCCAGCACTCTGTCCTGAGCATGGCACCCCGACTGCTTTCTGGAGGTGAAAGAACGTGCAGAGGAGGTGCCCACATCACCACCTGAAAGGGTCCCTGCGGGTGGGCACTCCTCTCTGCCCAGGGCTCCGTGAGATGGGCCAGTGTCCCAGACTCTCGCCTGGACTTAGGAATCGCTTCTTCCTAATGGCTTAAAGGAGGAGAAAGCCCCGGGACAGCAGTCGCAGAGTAAGCGGGGTGCGGCGCCACGAGGTCTCTGAAGAGACGTTCATCTTGTGCGGCTCATCCGCGCCCACCGCTGTGAATCGTAAGGACAAGCGGGACCCAGTGCCGCCCCGGGGGACCGGGCCACCTCCAGGCCACTCCCCTCAGGAAGATGTGGGCCCGCCAGGTCCTCAGGAAGGGCGAGCTGGGTGACACCGGGGGCAGGCCGCCGCCACTCGTGGGGCAGGGACGCGGCGCCAAGCCACAGAATACAGACTGTTTGCTGGACCAAGGGTACCTGCGGGATTCAGAAGCACCTGCATTACCTCAGGAACTGCATGTGCCTCTTTTGATCAGGATATCTGATCTCCTGCAGAAAAATATCCAGAAAAATAGCACAGAAAGTGGATGTATGGGGGGTGTTCTTCAGCATATGTGACTGTATTCTGTTCGGACGTCCCATGGACAAATACACCGTTCGAAATTTGAGATGGGATTTTTACCCAATGGGAGGGAGCTTTGTCTAACACATTGATGTGGGGGGTGTACATTTAAATTTGTTCATTATTGCCATTAAAACGTGCAAGGTTGGAGTCGCAAAGAGTACGTGAGAGTCACCAAGCTTGAAGACCCTCTCTCTGGATTTTACACCCAAACCAGTTCCAAGGAGCAAAGGGAAGGCCCACGCCTTGAGCCCCTCCCTTGGTCACAGGACAGGAACACCGAGAGGCGGAGACTCGGCCGAGCTGTTCTGCAGCCTTTATGTGAGACCTTTGGCTGCTATCTTGTCTGGACTTCTCTGCAACGTGGTTTTGAGGATGTGGAAATGTGTATCGAGGAATGAGGAGGCAGATGACCTCTACATCTGAAGGACGTTATTAGGTAGAAGGCTATGCCTCACTGACCCAGAATAGACTGCAGGACAGCACGCCCGTGTTCTTCAAAGGGTTACACTTATTACATTTATACTAGGAAGATGGATCCTGTTGGGAATCCTGTCTAAATGCTTTATACAGTTTCTAGTACATTCCTGCACACTAGTAACATACTGATGTATAAAGAGAAAATAACAAAACCGGTAGGAGTTAAACACTAAGCAATATTTCTTTTTAGCACATAGTACCCTTTATGAGAGAAATTGTTTTTTTCTCTAGAGAGAGTTTAGATTGTTAAATGACCAACATCAAAAAAAAATAATATAACAACATAAAAAATAAAAAATAAACATAAAACAGCATAAAAATAACAAATAAATCAACAAATAAAGCAATTCATCTCAAATAAATATCTGTCCCAAATAAAACAAATAAATTCTTGGGAAAAGAGAAAACTGATTCTGGTTTAAACACTGGAGTTTTGTGCTGCTACAAATTGAAAAAAGAACTTGCCCATCTCACAACATAGATCTCTAGTAACAGTAGGTTTGACACAACTTTTCCCACTCTGGTTAATTTTCTTTCTGGAATTAGATAACAATCCAATATAGTTTTTCGAGAAAGGGAATAAAACAAAATCAAACCTAGAAAATTTTAACTATTTTTGCCAGTAATTCTAGAATATAGTCTGTTCCTAAATTTTCTCTTACCTTTTTTGGACATTTCATTGTAGAAAGTTGTTCACTGACTAAAGGAGGGAATTAATTATTTAATATATATATACCACCTCTTCTTGCCTAAAAACAAATATGGAAACTCATATTGATTATTTCAGTTAATTATCTTTAGCTCTTTGTAGAAATATTGCATTTTCTTGTTTTCAGATGTTTTTTACAACAATCATAGAATTATACAGCTTTAGACTTCAAGGCCATCCAGTCCACCTACCTCATTTTACACAAAAGTAGTAGCGATACTTAGTAACTTGCCAAACACAACCTCACACTTTCACATAAGTCAGTTTATGTATATTTTGCTTTGCCTTAACCAGCACAATTTAGTCAACAAGATTGTGTTAACAATAGGTAAAATGCAAGTATTTTCAGTGACTGGAGAATTCCAAGGAGTCCGTCCTGACAACACCACAAACAGAAAAACTCAGTAGAGATTATAGATCAGTGTACTCTTCATTAATTGGAAAAAGTCTGTAAAAGTGTTATATACAAAATGAGGGGCACATAGACTCATTTCAGCAAACGTTTTTTAAAAAATGAATGAATCGATACAAGAATTGTCTGATCCTTAATTGCCAAATCTCTTGAGTCTAAACACCCACCAAGTACCACTTTTTCAGTGTTAGACTGAAGGACAGGCATAAACCTCTGGGCAGTGGGAAGGAGTCATTCAAGGAATCCATTTGTCCCTTTAAAAAGAGCAAAAAAAGAAACCATCCTATTAATTACTGGAAGTCTTCCTTGCTCGGTAGAATTTGAGTGGGGTAGTTCTTACTAGTACTTTTCAGAAAAAAATCAAGCTTTTGATTTTGTAAAATATTATTTAAAATGAAAGACTCTATATAAATTAAAAATATGTGATTGGGTTAATTTCTTGAGTTTTTTTTTTTTTTACCACAGCAAGATTTTTTCCAAAAAAAATTTACACCAACATATTTTACAATAGACGCTTCATATCCTACTATGCGGGAAACCACGTCCTCACCCCTAACCCTACAAGGGACAAGCAGGTGCGTGGGTGGAGCGGGTGCCCGCGGAGGAAAGTTGTCACCAGGCGGCGCTCTTGCAAGAGGAGCTTAAATTTCTTTTTAACGCACAGAAAGGGGAAAGGTAAAATGGAAAAATACCTAATTTTATCTGCCTAAGACCTGTCTGATAGGAAATTTTACTTTTTCTTAGTATAGCTGAACAGAAATGTTCACATTTTAGTCATATTGCTTGCAAAAGAAAATGCTTACTAAGAAATTAAACCATTTGCTTTCAAGAGGGCAGAGTGTAAACACATACCCCGCAAAGGTGTGTGGTGGGGGGAGATTAGATGGTCACATTTCAGAATCCTCTGTCTCTGTCCTATTTACTCCTCACTCGGCCAAACCGTCTTCCCAAGGAAACAGACCTAGTGAAGAGAGGCACAGAGAGAGAGGATGCCCGGGAGTCCCTGGCCAGCCACCCCGGGTCCCTGCTGCGCGGGGAGCCTGCTCGGACACCGCCTGCAGCATCCCACGGGGTGACAGCCATACGGGCGGAGGCTTTCACTCCCCCTCCTGGTGTTCTTAGAGCACCTTCCCAACCAGATCCCAGGCTTGGAGGATGTCCAGCTCTTGCCCAGAAAGCACCAATGAAATGGGAAAGTGCGCAATTGATTGATAATACATTTCACAAGAAAAATAATAATAATAAAGGAGATAAATTGTTGAACTCCCGCAAGTGTGCCTATCTACATCCATCTCAAGAACCAAAACTTTCCGAAGGGCTTGGGCCTGGAGGGAGGGGTCCGGGAGGGCTCTGGGGTCTCGGAGGAGGAGCCTAGAGTCCCTTGGTGCACAGGGCGGTCCGGCCGGGGACCACCGCTCGTCCCTACGCGTGGGGTCCGGGGAGGGGGCGCGTCTGAGAAGGGAGTACTCCTGTGGAGGGGGTGCTTCCGGGGAAGGAGTGCGCCTGGGGAGGGGGTGCGTCCGGGAAGGGAGTGCGCCTGGGGAAGGGGTGCGTCCGGGAAGGGAGTGCGTCCGGGGAGGGAGTTGAACCTGGGAGGGGGTCCGTCCGGGAAATGGGTGCGTCTGCGGTCTGGGTGCCGCGGCACCTCCTGCCCCGCAGCGGTGGGCCCGGACGTGGTGGGGCCTCGCGGGTCTTCCTCGCCTGGCCCCCGCCCTGGGGCGGCCTGGGGTCGGGTCCTGAGAGTGGCCCCCAGACGCGCCGCAGAGACCTCCGAAACGGACAGGCTCTAATTGACTTATTAAAGTCGAGGCAATCACGTAGCTCCTTTTTTAATAGCCCAAGATCTACATTTAGACAAAAACAGATCTGAGTTCCTGGTAAAGGCGTTTCTTCTCATCCTGTCACAAGTGACAGGAACGGAGGGAAACAGACTGAAGGAGAGAGGGGGAGGTGCAGGGAGGAGCGCGGGGGGTGGGGGGCCGAGGGCGGAGAGGGGGAGGGGTGGGGGGGGGCGGAGGGAGGGGGCGGAGCGGGGCGGGGGGCGGCCGGGGGGCCCGTGGCGACGGGAGGGGAAGGGGGGCGGGGGCCTGACGGAGGGCCGCCCCGCATCTACGCTCGGGCTCCTAATTAAAGACCCGCGGAGCCCTCGGGGACCCGCCTGACGTCGGCGCGCGGGGGGATAAGAGGCGCGCACCCCTGGCGGCCGCGGTCCCGCTCCAGACGCAGCCACGCGTCCCTGTCCCCGCGCGTCCTGAGCGCTCCGCGGGCCGGGGCGCCGCCGGGCATGGAGTAGCGGGACGCACGGCGGCTCGGGGCGCGGGGACACACGCCGGAGGACGCCAGCGGCTCCGGAGCGCGGGGACAGGTAACGGCCAGGATCCGACGCGTAGGTGGCCGAGGACCCAGGGGTTTCCAGAACCCGCACAGCAGGAGGCCGGAGCGAAGATCCCCGCGCGGGGACTTCACGGTGGGGCTCGGGGACACCGGGCTGGGGAAAGGGGGCGACCCCCTTACAAAGGCGCTGCGGGAAACTTGAGCCCAACAGCCCGAGCTGGGCGCGCGGCCCCCACTCACCCGAGCGCGCGGCGTTGCTCTCCGGGGGGGAGGTGGGCGCGCCAGCCGGACCCTCCAGACTTGCCCGCCCCTCGGGGAGTTAACCGCCGCGGCTCCGCGCGCTTCCTAGAGGTTAAAGAAAGTTCCGCGGATGCCCCGCTCTGCGAAGTCGGACGGACGCGCTTTCCCAGGGAAGTTGGGAGGCCCCCGGCAGGGCGGGACGCGCGCAGAGGGCGCAGCCCCCGAAACTCTGCTCCCAGTGCCCCGCGGGTGGCGCTTCGGTGGGTCCCGGATCTGTGCCAGGCGCCCCTCCTACGGGGTTAGCGGGGATTCCTGGGTGTCCGCGGGGATTAGTGGGGTTCACGGGGATCCCGGGGTTGAGAGGATGGAGGTGGCCCGCAGGGGGCCGCGGTCTGGGCGGGGGGGGCGCTCGCGTCCCCGCCAGCCCGCCTACCTATCCTGGCCCCCTCCCTGTCCCCGCAGCCAGCCCAGCTCCGGAACGTCGGCCCCTCCAGCCGCGCCCACCGAGCGCAGCATGCGTGCGCCCGGGCGTCCGCTCCTCCTGGGGCTGTTGCTGGTGCTGAGCGCGGCCGGGCCCGGCCGGGGGTTTGCGCAGCCCCGCGAGGCCGCGGAAACACAGACCCTGCTGCGGCTCATCGCCGAGGTCGTCCAGGAGCTGAAGAAGTTCCACGCGGGAGAGTCCAAGCGGCTGCAGCTGCTGGGCCCGCAGCAGGACCCCCTGCGAGGTGGGGCGGGCGCGGCGGGCGCCGAGGAGCAGCGAGCGGGTGAGTGCGCGGCGCGCTGCGGGGCCCCGCGGCCGGGCTCCGTGTCCCTGTATGGCGGGTCTCCGCGGCCCGAGAACAATCTCTGTGCGCTTAGCAATAGAACTGGTGAGAACACACGTATTTTTAAAAGATAAATCCATTTCGATTGTTTTTAAAAAGCTAGGCAACATTGTTTTAAAAGGAAAATGAGAGGCCGGTGGATGATGTCTCGCAGACCTGAGCTGCAGCCTAGGTCAGTGATTTCGGCAGAGCTGTCATGTTATTTTGGAAATGGACATACTCTGAGCAAAGCATTTTCGCTTAGACAGGAACGTTTCAGAGCTCCCTCACGCCGGCACAGCCTTCCCGGAGTGGCTGCCCCTTGGGACTTTCCGAGGAAAGCATGCAAGCTTTTAATGCTTTTGTGACACAATTAGGTCAAATATGATAAGGTCAGTTTTATATAGACTGAGTAAAGTTTGGGGCAAATGAACATTAACATTCGGCATACCTGTAAACCTTGCAAGCAAGATGGGGTGGAAACGACCCTTTAGATGGGGAGTATTTGTGGTAAAATAGTGTGGCCACGGACAAGCTAAGTTACTAGACCAGAACAGGTGACTGTAAACTGGTTACAGACGACCAAACAAGTAAAATCAGAAAGGTTGCCTGTAGAATCGAGGCTGGTTCTCGCAGGCAAGTCAACGCTACTGCCTCGGAAGGGTTTGTGGGGCAGCTGCCCCCTGCTGGAAAGGCCCCACAGCCGGGGAGCCCCACCCCCTGCCCGGGAGCACTACCCTCCCCAGGAATTTCACTTCCATCTTATACACCAGGTTAATACCTATTTCCATGCATTTACAGCAGCCTTTGACGTAACAGGTGGTTTTGAAGGCATTTAATCTTTTTCTAAAAATATACTTAGAAAAAGTAATGTTTTACAATAAATTCCTTGTTCAGAGAATTAGGTTTTCTTCCTAGAACTTTGAGAGGTTGTGGGATTTGATTCCCAAATTCTTCAAAATGAAAGTAAGCATGTTTTGTTCACTGAAAACTGCCATACACACATGCCCTATGCCATTAAGGCCCCTGCCCCTATCATAGTGGTAGAGACCACTGATAATACTGGAGCTTTGTGAGTACTAATACTATTCGAATAAAAAAATGTCCCTGGTTACCAGTCTTCACATTGTCATATACAACATCCAATCTGTTTTATATACTGCAATGTACTATGGCTAATGCAGTTTCCAGCAACGTTCTTCAACATTCTCTTAAGATCACATGAAAAAAAAATGTTTCTTTCAGGCAATATAATAACTTCTTTCTCCTCAAGCAGAAATTGTCCCTCGAGATCTGAGGATGAAGGACAAGTTTTTGAAGCATCTCACAGGTAAGTTTTCTCTGTACTCGCCGCCCACCCCTCCCTAGGTGCTTGCATCCTGTGGGCTCTCACCTCGCTTCTTCCTCTATGTTCCAGGTCCTCTTTATTTCAGTGCAAAGTGCAGCAAACACTTCCACAGGCTTTACCACAACACCAGAGACTGCACCATCCCCGCATGTAAGTGACAGTGTCTGGATTGCTTTGGAAATACAATGTAGATGTGACTTCATGTCCTTCCACTTCAACAGGACCCTGTCTTCTGATCCTCTTATTTGCTAACGTATGTTCCCTCTTAACTATGGAATTAGGGGTGCGGGACCAGGCCATTGAGGAGATAGCTGCATTCTGCAGCAGCTGGTGCCAAGCTGAAATTTACATTCCCTAGAATTAGTCCACTCGTGGAATGGGCTGAGCTTGTCCATTCACACTCTGGTCCTGTTTATGAATTTGGGCAGATAACTGTGTTTGTGTCTGCTCCACCATGCCGATAAAGCAAATGCTAAGAACCAGTGGTAAGTGGCCGCTGCAGAGAACATGAATGGACCTGGGCCGTCCTGGTCCAACTCTCTTGACCGTCCCACTGTCCCGACCAGAGACTTTGTTTCCATCGGTGACTGACCTCTTCCCCCAGGAACTGCTCTGCCCCCCCACCTGCCTTCCTGCCGGGGCCGCCACTGAGTCAGAAGTGCTGAGCTGCTCCGCTCCATCCTGCGGCTCTGACTTTCTATTTATCAACAACAGGATGTATTTTACTTCCCCACAAGTCGTTCTTTGTGCTCCTCACAAAACATATAATGATGGCAAGTGACTTATGAGCCAGAGTGACATCTGTTTGAACCCTGAAACAATTTTTTCTGTAGGGACTACAACTTCTCTGATTTAAGGTTCCTGGGAGGAAAGTCGTGTGGATATGCTAGGCATCTACCCAGCTGTTTTCAGACTATCCATGGGACAGCCGACCAGACCTGCCTGTTCTGCCTTCAAAAGACATAAACCACTTTCCATGAAATGCAAGTTTTTCTGCTTAGGCAGCAAAGTCACCCTAAATGTAACAGTTTTCATTTGTGGAGCTCCTGAAGGCACAGTGGCAATACGCCTGGGGGGAAGCCAAATACCTCCCATGTTAACTGTGTTAAGTGGTGCGAAGCAAGGGCCCAGGTCCCGGCCAGGCTGCTTGCTCTCAGAGCCACACGGGAGGCAGGCAGCGCACATGCCCCGCGGCTGCTGGTTGCTTCTCGAGCACTGTTCTCCAGTCCACCCTCCCACGTGTGCCACATGGACCTGGCACATTCCTCCCTCTGAGATGGAATCACCTTGTTTGAGAATTAACTTGTTTCCTGGAACCACAGAACTTTCTCATTTTGACTGTTTAAGTGTGTATACATTTTTACATTGAATGCTGTCTTACAATAAGAGGGCCACAGATCCTAAATTTGAAAGTTACTCCTTCACCCCTTGTGCCGTGACACACACATGCACGTCCTTCTCCAGGGCACTGCTTGTGCCCACAAATGCAGCCACCTTTCGCTCACAGAACTCAGCCTCATGCCACCGAGACTCCCAGTCACCCAGGAATGAGGCATTGTTCAGAAGCCCTGCAGGCCTCAGGGGCAGAAGGCCCAGACCTGTGCCCTGGCTGAGTGCTTACTTTCACTTATGTGGGCCCACCTGCACCCATGGAGAACCAGAGCTGAAGTGGACCACATCTGTGCAGCTCTGGGCTGCATCAAAGACAGTCCCTAGCATCTTGGGTCAGCCCTGAAAGGAACCAGCCTTCCTCCCATGTGGCTCCGAGGAGAGGTCCTTCCAAGTGCAGATCCTTACATCTACCAGACCTGAACACCTGTACCCAAATGAGATCTGCATGTGCGCGAAGGCTGGACACTCGGGCCACGTGGGATTCTGTCCACTGCTGCAGATGGAAATATTTACCCCAAGCTCACCCAAACCAGTGCGTCCACATGATCCATATAGGAAACTACACTCTGAAACATGGGTGCAGCTGATGAAGAGCAAAAAGCTAGGATCCCTAGGACCCAGCTTTCAGCTGTTAGACTGTTTCTGCTTTGAGCTCAAACCATATGTCCTTGAAATATTTAGGGAGAGTGTTGTTAGGAGCGGAGTAGACTAACGCTGCATAATACCCATCAGCTTATTCATTCAGGATTTCAGTTAAGACTATGAATTCTTCCGTTTTAAGCAGAATTTCCCAGCTCTTTGAGAGGTAGACTTTACGAACTTACAAACTGCTGCAGCTTTCCCCAGAACTCACGTTCTGAGTAAATTCCTTTGTGGCCGTGAGGACTAAACCTCACTTCTTTCGGAGGGAGCATCTACTGAATGGAACAGTAAGTCATGTGAGGCAGCAAGGAAAATCGGGGTGCTCAGGAACTAGCTCAGCGGCTTCGGCGTCCAGCCCAGGTCTTTCGGCTCTGCTACACGACTGCTGACCCTCTTTCTTTAGATTTCTTGCACAAGGCTTTCTGTTAAGATCTACTCGGGGTGCTCAGCCTGTACATGAAGTGACACAGGGCGGGAAGCAGACTACAGCTAGTCTGATGCGCCCTTGCAGCCCAAGAGGAGAGGTGGGGCGACTGACCAGGAGGGCAGCCCCCACGGCCCCCATCCCATCATTCCAACTTTTGCGTGTGCCACTAATGGCCCTGAAGTGCCTTAAATTATTAAATCAATAACTTAGAGCCCAGGACTGCAGAGGGCAGTCTCGTGTCACTTCCAGGGAATTCAGAGTATTTAAAGAAATAAATGGCTTTAGCAGTTGATATACTTGTTTTAAAAATGCTTATTTAAGAGCTGTTGAGATAACTGACCAAGATCTGTGATTTATTTTCACCATAGACTATAAAAGATGTGCCAGGCTTCTTACCCGGCTCGCTGTCAGTCCACTGTGCATGGAGGGATAAGGTAAGCTGACAGATCACACCGGCACACACACCAGAGACCAGAATCCTGTCCCGGACATGAAAAACTCATGGCAGTTTAGAAACATTCACTCTTTGGCTAAAGTATCCTTACTTCAAGTGAGGGTGACCACCCTCAAAATATCTCCAAGTACTGGCCACCAATAAAAGGAGCTCCTCCTAGCTTACGCACAGTGTCCCCACAGCCATTATACATCACTCCAGGATGACATGGTTGGCACCCAGGACGTGTTCATCTGAAACACAGCCCATTATTTAACTAATCTCAGCACAGGACTGCATACATACATAAATTAGGGTCTGTATCTAGAATCATGCCTGTTCACTGCAGGCTTGCACTCATTTGCTAGCACTCACAGGTAAGGGGCCAACCACACATGCATATTTTCCAGAAACATCTGGCCAGTGTCTGAGGTGGTCTGTCATTATGCCAACAAGCTTTTAAGTCACTAAGAGGTATCTTCTTTAAATGTTTCTATCACAGCTATTTTTTTCAGACCCTCTAATGGCAAAAATATAAATGCATACAGAGAGTTGATGATGTTAACCTTTTACACTGGCCTTTTGAGGCTGGTACGTAACATAACCCACTGTCAGCTATGCAGCCAACAGACGGACTGGAAAGTCTTGTTTTCCGGACACAAGCACCAAGTTTCAGTCGCAAAGCTGTGATTTCATTATCTTATTCTTCCGTGTCATGTGCGCTGGGCCTGCTAGATGCCCAGTCTACCCCCACAGAGAGGGCATGCTTCCGGGCCTCGGGTGGCTGCTCCCAGTTCATTTACAAAAAGGGACTACTGTACTTTTCCAGGGCTACCTCTCCTATGCCTCATGTCGTGGAAGGAGGAGGAGGTAGACTGGGATGAGGTCACTGTGGAACAGGCAGTGCCCCCAAGTGCCCTGGCAGCTGCCAAGGGCCAAGCCAAAGGGCTGGAGCCGGGCATGTGGAGTGACTGTGGGGGCGTGAGGTGTCCCAGGAACCACCCACCCATCCCAGGCCCGTTAGTGAGTGAGGGGCATCAGTCAGGGAAACAGGCAGCTACGGAGGGCTGGAGGGCTGACACATCTCGCACGGCCTCACTGAGATTCCTGGCTCTCCGGGGAGGAAGGAATGTTCTTAATGCCCAGCTGAGAGATGCTGTGCATTAAACTGTCTCCCGGTCACTTCTCATCTGAATACTGTCTCTTTCACTGTCCATACTGTCCACATGGCACACGCATCTTTTTATTTAAAGCAGAATGGATGCTTGTTAAGTCTCCCAAGGTGACATGCTAGGGGAGATGATGTTATTTTTATGAAGCATTTCTTTATAGTTAAAGCATCACCACTGCTAGAGATCAACCAGGCAATCTCCTTAGAAGACAACCTCCACTCACTCATAAGCCCGTCGGGAGACCGGATGCCTTACGGCGCCCCCACTGAAAGCTGCTCAGGCTGTGCTTCCTCTCTGCCCCTTAGCAGCTGACTGCCCCTACAGACAGCCAGCTGTCCTTAAAAAGGCGAGAGCAGCGTCATTCCCAAGGGACACACGCTTATGGGAACGACAGAGCACCAGGCTCCTTCCCTATCAGTGCAGGGCAAGCATGCCAGGGCTTTGCCAAACTCAACACAGATACTTACGTGAAAGCCAAAAAGGAAAGGAGCCTGCCACGCAGGGGCTCATGGGAATGCGGCTCACGACCGACACTGCCTGGGTGCCTCCCCCACCTTGAGCCACAGGTCAGAATCTCATTGCACGATGACGGAGAGGAAAAGGAGCAGGTGTGTGCCCACAAGTGCCTACTCCCCAAAGCCCACCACCACTCCTCCGTCACACTTACCGCAACTGTCAGCAGCTGTGCTCAGACTGGCCAACAAATGGCTTTATTTTAAAACTTGAAGTTTAAAATTTGCTAACTAAAATAATTTCATAACATTTTTAGAAGCTTACTTTCTGATTCCGGAAGTCAGAACCCGCAGTGAAAACTCTAGCTGGCCCCACCACTGCAGCAGAGGTTCTCCACCCTGCAGGCAGACTTAGGACACCAGTGTGTGTGCATTGTGGGGGGGGGAAGGGCACTCACCCAGCACCAGCGCTCAGCACACACTCCACTGGCTGGCAGCAGCCTCCGGTATAAGGCAGGAAGCTGCCCAAGTGCTTTTCTCATTGTCCTGAAAGATAGCAGGATAAGATTCTTCCTCCAAGTCCAGACATGCTTTGAATTTGTAAAGGCTGAGTCTGAAAGAAGCAGGTCTCTCTAAAAGGGCCTGAGCACAGGCTTCTCCACCTCTGTGACCTCAGAGCAGACCCTCGCCTCCTTCCTCCTGAAGCTCATTACCTAGTCTCCTCTGGCCAAAGAAAAACTGTACTCTCCCAGCTCCCCTCCTTTAGCCAGAGATGCTGCGAGGTGCCCTCACACACACCCCATCTCACTGCCCAGACCTGAAGTCAGGTAAGCCACAAGCCTGAGCTCTGGAGTATTTTCAAAGAAACAGAGTTTTGATAACAAGTACCTAGCTCACTCCTCACAATGCACCCGAATCTTAGTAACCCTTAAGCCCATCATTATTTTTTAAATTAATTAATAGTATACCAGTGGTTCAGGAATATAGGGAGTACTAGAAAAAAAGTGCTTATTCCTGATTATTGGTTTTGCAAACCCTCGTCAACATCGAGGAGTAAGGCCAATGAGCTATTTCCCAGGGTGACACGAACTACAAGTCAGCGTGGCCCATGTCACTGAGGGTCTGACAGCACACACCAAGACTACACTCTTTTCTTCAGACTTTCTTAGGCGGTCACGCAGTCACCTGTAGTTATCGTGTCCGCTCCTTTCGCACAGCAGGCATGAAGTCACTGCGGGACTAAGCTATCTTCCATAGCAGACTATGCTTCTCAGAACACAGAGAAATACACATGCAGACTGAGACGCCTTATGTCCATCATCACATTATCTTGCACCATTTAGTGTCTAGGCCTAGACTTGGTAAGGAAGTGTGAAGAGGTATATGAAATCAAACACATTTATTTTCAGCAGTGAGCAGAACTGTGGCGATCAACAGCCCGATAACCATGAGAAGTGCCTTGGAAACCAACAGCGAAACTGAACCTACTACCTTCATGTTCCCTGTGAACAGATGTGTATTTGCAGACAGCCTCTTCTACAATCCCTTTGAGTTTTGTATGGTGTTGACACCGTTTGTGGGTGCACATTCAGTAAATCGGCATGCCTGACAGCAATGTCCGCCACCCATTAATTAGAGAAACTCAAGAGAATGCTCCACAGCGGACATGTAGCGTTTCATGAGGCCACAGGAAGAGACTGCATTTCCTCAGTAGGTGAAGTCACAAAGAATATTTCTTTAGAAACATAAGCAGAATCTGAAATTATATTTTCATATAGCATACGGTATGATTTAATATTTTTTATTACTTTTACAACTCCCAGGGTATTATTTGGAACTGCATGAAAAATTTAAAAAACAAAACAAAAAACAACTTCAATCATGTTTTAGAGCCAGTGGACTGTAAGTGTGTGAGCACACCCGGGCTGATTTCATTTGTCCTTTGTATAATAAGTGTAAAATAGTATCCCGATATTGTGTAATATGTAGATACTGTACATAAAGCACAAGTAATAAAGTATTTGTTATAAAATCAAGTCTTCAAGGTGACTCTACCTCATAACAAGTTCATCACTGAAAACTCATGATTTATAAATCTATGAAGAGATGGTAATTATGGCAGAATGTCCCAGAATATAAAAGGCATAAATAAATGAAATGCAAACACAATGAACTCTCATAAAGGACAATAAATCAGCATTTTTTAAAAGGAGAAGCTACTATACACTGGTGACATAGTATCTGTAGACCTGATTTGGTGGCGAGTATTTCAAGTAAGGTCGCACCCATACTTCCCTACGACTGTGATCATGAAAATCCTATGAGGAAACTCATGAAGACTTCTAAGCAGACTTTTACGGACATATACACTGTGAACGATTTGACTGGATCCAATTGAAAAAGACAAGCCAATTCAGCAATGCATTTCTCTGTTCCTATGACCCCTAGTCTGGATAGGGCCATCAGGACATGTTTGAGGACTGGTATTTAAGATATGTATGTAAACATTAAGGACAACAAACTATAGGGATTTACTTGTTAACATAAGGAAAAAGCTTCCCCAGCTCCTGCCGCTGCCATCCCTCTTGGGGTGGTGGGTGGTGGGGAAGCTGCCGCGCTCATCCTTCAGGCACAGGGGGTCAGGACTCAACACCCCAACCTGAGACCCACACGCCGTGGAGGACCAGAGCCCATGACAGCGGGGAAGGTGCCCTGACGGGGCAGCCGCTGCTCTAAGGGTACCCTGTTTCTGGGTAGTGACCCACTTGGACCGTGGGTGAAAGCCGATCTGTGACTGACAGTCCTCCCCAGATTTCAGGTCACTAAGTACGAATGGGGTAAAGACGGGGTCAAGCAAGCTGTCACTCACGCAGCCGCAGAGCACGGAGCGACTGGGGAGCCTGCGCCAAGGAGACGGCTGCTCCCCAGGCGGCAGGCAGGCGGGCTCCTTCACGTGGACATCACCGTACGGGGAAGCCTCTACTTCTCGCTTCCTTACACTGGAGACAGACATGCACGCGCAGCAGCCCAGACCATTTCAAAGGGACAATGGGGGCACTGCTTTCTAATTGCTCTTCACTCGTCAGTAAAAAGCAGACAGAAACCAGACATATCTTGGTTGAATTTTTATAGTTTCCCCAGCTTATTCTGAAAACAATCTTTCCTGACACACATCCATGTGAATTTTTGATTAGTCATCTCACAGTGTACAGTATCTGCCCATAAATTAAGCCTGATATAGGAATATTTAACATGCTAACATTTAAGCATTCCAACATGAAAGAACTTCCGACTTTTCATTTTCTTCCCACCAAGGCTCATCTGTATTTGACATCCAGGCTGTATATGCACATAAAGGCAGACTGACCATAAACTGCTCACAAGGGTCCTTCTTTCTGGATGTAATAAAATTCCTGGTTCCAATGGGAGCAAATAAGCCCACTTCTGAGACAGGATCAGACAGACCAAAGAGGGAGCATGGCGGCTGGAGCAGCCCGAGGCCCCACCTCAGCACTCGCGTGTACACCGTGCTGGTGAGCACTTCCTGCCGCGGCCCCAGGACGGGCCTGGCACGGAGGGAGGCAGCGAGCAGGAGGCGCGTCTCCTTGACACGGCCACAGACTGAGGGAAGAGGGGTGGCAGCTCTCCACAAGTCTCCATGGGCCCAGGTGCTGACCTGGGCCTGACGGCAACATTTTACTTCATTATGTTCTATTTTGTTGCTCTATTTCACGTGTTCCATTATTTTTGTGACTGTGGCAAAGTGGGATGCTCAGCTAATCTAAGAACATTTAACACCCCCATAAACTGTCTGAATCAAAAATGTTTATTTATTCTTCTGACAAATATAACTGACTTCCATCTACAATCATGTTTTAAAAGAAGAAACACTGTCACTGAAGGAACAGCTGTGACCCTGAGCCACAGAAGTCACTACACTCGGACGCAGGACCGGACGCACAGCTGTGGGGCCGCCTAGAGGGCCTTCTCCAGGAAGGCTCTGCAGCACCTCGCACACTGCTGGTACACCATCTCAAAGTCGGAGTCGCTGCCCTGGAAGGACGGGACAGGGAGACGCAGACCTGCATGAGGAGACGCCCCGGAGCACCTTCCTCGCATCCCGCGCCAGGACAACCCGAGTCCCGCTTGGAAGGGACGGCAGTACTCACATAATAGGGGTCCTCGATGGTGAGCTGCCGCTGTGGATCGTAGCTCCCAAGCAGTTCGATTTTAGCTTTGCAGTTTTTAACTTGATTACACTTCCTATTCAAATCTCTGTAAAATTGAAACACGAACTTAGTTTTCCGATCTATGGTTTCAAGGTAAATGAGGACATCTAGGATTTTATTAAACTTCCATATCAAAATCCCACAAAAGTGACCTGCTTTGAGAGGAAATCCGACAGACACTCTGCAGGCCTGCGTGCCCTCCACGCAGCTGCACCACGGACTGTCTCAGGCAAGAGAACTTGCAACAGGGACACAACCTCACAAACTTTACACAAAATATGCATCCTTAAGTCAGACAATAACTAGGTTTACTTCTGTGAAATACATGTTGGAACAATCCAATCAAAAAGGTCCTGTTTTAGGGTTTCAACAAAGGTGACGGAATGGAGTTCAGAAGCCCAGTGAGCCAAGTCCCGAGGGGCTACCTACCCCACCCTGAGGCGTCCTGACAGCACCTCACGCGGTGGACCTTGCGATCCAACTGTTTCCCTGCTTCTGCCCCCCGAGCCCTGCCCTAGGCCGAGGGCCCCACGTTCCTGGCCTCTCCCACCTTCAGCTCTCATGCTGCCACAAAAGGAAAAGCAAACCTCACTAAGCCACTTTAGCTTAACTTGGCCACCCGTCCACTCAGTTAACCAATCTAAGCAGCACGATGGGTTGGGCATCATGCTTGGTGGGGGTGGGAGAGCCTGACGGAAACCTGGCTGGGCCTCAAGGCCAAGCAGGAGGGACTGAGGAGCAGGGTGCTCCCCGAGGGCCACACACAAGAACACAGCCCCAAGGGCCAACTGGGTCAGAGACCCCCCACTAATGACCAGAGTGCCACAGAGCTTCCCAACAAGACGGTGCTGGTAATTCCTGCAATTAGTGAGAAAGGTGAGCACAGAACAGCAACGAAAGAACAAAAAGAGCAAATGTGTGTATTTTACTGAAGTTCCTGACTAACAAAAGCAAAAGTAAAGCTGCTGCATCCACACTATCCTCCCCTAGAAAGGCAACCGAAACCAAACGCTTCTGTTCATCAGACACATGGATGTCGTGCGGGTGCTGACGGCCCCCCAGATGCGCTCCCCACATACTGAGCAGTGAACTGTGTGGTGAGCAGCCGGTGTCCTGGTCTTACAACTGGGACATCATCTCAGCTTCCACTTGGTCACATGAGCTGAGTCAGCCTCTAAATTTGTGACATGCATTGTATTCCCTCGTTTTCGGCATGATCACATTGTAGCACACTGTTTCTTTCTGAGGTCTGGTGCTCTTTTAGTCGCCTAGTCCCCACCGGACCGCAAATGCTGTGGGGGTAGGCAGCATGGAGACAGTGACATCACTGATGTGCGGCCACCATGTCCATGTGCCCTGGGCTCAAAGCACATGTGACGTGAGAGGACAGGGGTGAGTGAGGCTTGATGTCCCTGTGGAGCCACAGCTAAAATACCACGGCACACCCACTAACCCTGTGGATGTGGGCGCACAGCTCTGCGCCTCCTATTCCTCCGACAGACGGGGTGACAGGCAAACTCACAGAAGCAGGACCAGTGGCCACAGTGCACAGAGGTCGGCTGCTCTCAGCCAATGTCCTCATCTGTCAGTTCTGTCTTTCCATCAGTTAAGGGAATCCACAATTTAAATGGAGTGAAAAGGTTTCTTTCTGGTCAGTCTTCGTGGTTTCGGGGGAAGGGGCAGCAGGAATGTGGAGTCATGATGAGCACCTGCTGGCCGTGCATTGCCAAACCGCATGCGTCAGCTGCTGCCCTGCCGGGTGCTGCCCACGACCACCTCGCCCCAGACGGGGCCACACTCCGCAGACGGCCGTTCCTCAGCACGCCTCTTCGTAAGCACCCCCATAAAACAACTCCAGGCTACTCCCCGGACTGCTTACTATTCCAAATCAACAGTTCTGTATATTGGGATCGTTACTATCTACTAAAACTTCAGGATGATAGAGTCATTTTGACAACCAAGTACTTGACTACTACTTTCACTACTGAACTAAGAATCACACAGAAATATTCCCTTTAAAAATTGTGATTACCTCAGATTGCTTTCATCCATACATAGTATATAATCAAATGTAGCAAAGTCTTCTTTGGTAACCTAAAATGATACGGGAAGTGAAAACAGTGTATATATTCATACCAATCAAGCCTACAGGATCAGAAGTAATACTTAAAGAAAAACCAAATCAGCTATATTTTAATCTGTTAATCACTAATTAATTAAACGATTTAGGATACTTCAAAGTTAAGACAAAGGCAACCTATTTCCTAAAACTATTGCAAAGATATTTTTATACTATAAAGCTACTTGGAATAATCATAAAAATGGTATAATGCATAGATGCAAAGTTTATACTTCATCTGCAATTTCTTAGTAACAAAGTATAATTCAGTTAGCACCTTAAAATGTCACACATTTACTACCTTTTATTATTTTACTCTCCAATCACTTAATATTCAGCCCCTGGTAACATACCCCAAACTAAACAGACGGAGAAGGCTTTCCCCCTACGTAGAGCGGCTGCAGTGGGAAGTAAAGCAGGGGACGGGAGTTGTGGGGGAAAGAGGAAGGGGAGGCTCCAAGTAGGGGCTCAGGGAGGGTTTACTAAGAAGGAAACTATGAGTGACTGAGTCTGTGGCTCTTCCTTCTTTATGGAATATCCCAAATTTGAATATGACACAGAAGACGGTGTCACTCACTGTTACTGATTCTAACCCAAAACCTTATCATTGTTCTCTGAAATCATAATTTACAAATATAAACCCACTACAATACAAATGAAAAATTATTTTATGATTTTTGACAATTATAACTAAGAGAAGAATGGAAACATGCCACAGAATGCAGATGGAAATCATTTCTAAGAACGTAATTTATAATCTTCCTCATTAAAAACCCTCTGAAATATGGCCGTATAATAAAACTACAAAGATACTGAAAACCTACTCGCACAGATTCGCGTCGTTGTGTATAACACCCAGTGTGGCAAAGGGAAAACAGACGTCCTCACTGTTCGGTTAGAAACGAGTGGCTCTCGCTCTTGGTGTGTATTAACTTAGAGAGCATTGAGCTAAATTTTGTTAATGATCCCAAAGGACTAGCTTATTTTAAAATCCATTAGAACAAATATTACGAACTATTTCCCCAAATTAGTTGCACAAGAAATATCCTAAAAATTAAAACTGGATTAAAAATTAAACATTGTTTTTAATTTTGGAATGACTACAATTATGGATCTTAAAGACAGTGATGCTATCTATGAAACCATGATGATGTTTAGATGTTAAAGTAATTGGCAAAGGATAGGAAGTTATAATTAACATCTTAGAAAGGATGCACAGCAAAGGATTTCCATTGTAGCTAGCAATGAAATAGCTTGTGGCACACCAACTCTCCTGCCAGAAACAAGTAGAAATTCCCATGAAAACTTGTGAGAGGTGGACATGGGGCCAAAATCCCAAAAGAGGCACAGTTCAAGCTGCTGGGCAGGCAGACACTTTGAATGGATCCCTTACCCCACACGACTTCAACTGCATGGACCCCCTGGGAACTGCACTTCAGGGTCCAGGGCAGCCAATCCCACAGAAAGGGGCAGGGACTGCCATGGTGCAGGGGGCCGTCCGGCATCTGGTGGGTGGAGACCACGGATGCTGCTCCACATCCCACAGGCACAGGATGCCCCAGGCAATGAACGATCTGGACTCCAGTGCCCGCAGTGCAGAGGCACCAGGGGCACCAGAGGCCACGGCCACTCCTGACGCTGAAGAGAAAAACTGGAGGTAAGGCTGGCGAGACAGCCAGAACTGGGAGAGGAAAGATGAGGAAGGGAGCCTGGCACCCACACATTTCTCCTTAAAGCATTTACCAAGGGCTTAAATTACTTGGGGAGGAAACTGAGAAGCCAAAGAGGAAGGCTGCCTGACTCGGTGAGGAAGAAACAAAAATCCTATTCAGATGCTGCCCTGCAGGAGGGGCCCTGTCTACTCCACACCCTGGGCATCGGGCAGGAGTCCTCGAGGGTCACCCAAGAGGGGGCCCAGACCCACACAGCCCAAGCCTCATAAAGCCAGGACCAGCCAGTCAAAAGGATGGAAAACAGGTAAAAAAGTTTAAGAAATTTATGCTCGAAATACATTAAGCTGAATCTCAGAAGAGAATGAGAAGGAAATATGAACAGAGAGCAGTCCAGAATTTTCCAAAACTTCTGAAAAAGGCACAAATTCAGGAAGCAAACTTTGGCCTACCACAGTAAAACCACTGAAAACTAAATACAAAAAGAAACATCTAAAGACAACCAGAGAAAATGACAGAAAATGTGTAAGGACGATGAAAAGACAACTGATCGGATGAACGCTTCCAAATGACTGAAGCAGAAATACTACCCTTATGGGTAAGCTTTCCAAGAGACCAGAATAAAGAGGAGCGCTGCTCCACCTGCTGCATGAGGGCTACGCAGCCCAACGCCCTGGGACCCGGGGTGCGTACGGCCCGACGCCCTGGGACCTGATGCCCTGGGACCCGGGGGTGCATACGGCCCGACGCCCTGGGAACTGGGGTGCGTACGGCCCGATGCCCTAGGACCCGGGGTGTGTACGGCCCGACGCCCTGGGACCCAACGCCCTGGAACCCAGGGTGCGTACGGCCTGACACTGTGTGATGCTGGACGTGTATATCCAGTGGAACCATACACAAGTGTTCACAAATGACACATACCCAAATAGTCACAGTGGCATTCAGCCTCAAACTAGAAACAACCCAAATGTCCGTCAGGAGCAGGCTGGATAAATAAGCTGTAGTCTGTGAAATGGTCCTGAATCCAGCAATGAAAATGAGTGAGCCTCTGCTACGAGCAACAACACGGAGCATCTCACCCTGGAACAGGGCTGACGGGAGGAGTGCAGACTGCATGGTTCCACTGTCACAGAGCTAAAAAGGGAGAAGGGTTTTTAGTGGTGACCTCCAGAGCAGAGGAGTGGTGGTGCTCGGCACGCTGTGAAAATGTGCTGAGAGCACACTGACAGCCATGCCCACATCAAAGGACATGCAGTGAAAAGGAGAAGAATGCGTGAGGAACCCTACAGGACTAACCAGGGTGAGAGTTCAGACTCCAGAGAACCAAATGCATGCGTTAGAGAGAAGAAGCATCCTAACCGTAATTTACTTATTAAACCCAGTTTGAAAGCATTGGGAAAACTAAAATTTTAAGAAATAAATAGGATAGTTCTCATACAAATTGTGACAATTACAAAAAAGAAGACTTCTAAGCATTTGCAAGATGCTACAATAACAAAGATCTCACATGATCTCATGTATAACCTTATCTTACTAGTACTTTGAAAAAAAAAAGTTGTGGAAAATTTCTTAAAAGCAGCACAGAAAAGGAAAAAGCAAACACAGATTATGTGGAAATACTACTTCTAAAACTGGTAATTATAAATGATCTTAAAAAACACTAAGTTTCTAGCTTTGGTTTTCTTAAGGCATATGCATTTAATATACTTCATTTGTACTCACTTTATTATACACTTAGTGTATGAAAAATGATCTTAAAAACAGAAAACACATGATTGCTCAAAACTGAAGGACTATTTAAAATATATCTACATTTCTTAAAAAATAGAAAGCAGAAATTGGCAAGGTATGCAAAACCCCACCAAAATTAAAATGGACAAATGATATAAAAAATGTTCAGTATTCTGTCCAATGAAAATTCCATTTAACAAAGGATCAGGTCCTTAAGGTAGTTAATTTAAATAATAAATTGTTAACATGAAGAGTTGACTCATGTAGCCATAAATCAGAAGTTCATAGATCTCAGAGTAAGTTTATCTAAGTCAAAAAAACGTGTATTACTCATTTGAGGCATATATTTAAAGCGTCTGGCAATTTTGTTTTGTGAATTTTCTGACTCACACCTCTATACATTTTTATTAAGACAAACAAACCTCTGATCAAATCCAAATTCTACCATTCTGAAGCTGGCTAATCTTTGGGAAGTTATTTATTTTCTCCCCAGAATTTAGTTTCTTGATTTGCAAAATGGGTTTACCAACTACTTCCTTGCCTAACTCCCTTACCAACTAACTCCCTCCTAAAGTAACGGAGAGGATAAAAACTGAGATGATCAAAATTAAAAATGTGATACTGTGTGGCAAAGCAATCTGAAAGTTTTACGGAAGGATAAGATTTAGTACAGTGATAATTACAGCATCTTCTTCCAGGTGTACAAGTCCTGAGTCAGGCACCACCACCACAGGTCTCCCACTGCCATCCACATCATCAACTACAATCACCTTACATATACCACCCATTATAAATGTGTCATGTATTTGACAACTGGTTTTCAAAATATTGAGCTTCTCGATTCGGGGGCCACAGAAACTCATCTCTGGACATGGCCTGCTGCTCAGGCTACTCCATGGCCTTGCTTGGCTTACAGTGTACATTTCCTTAGGTTAGATACAAAAGTTAGTTAGAAGCTTTTAGCCCCATCTTTACAAAATCCAACTGAATCTCCATAGAATAATCACATCGATCAAAATAACAATATATGAGGGCTTCTGTATCAGAAACAAAGCCAGTTTCTTTAGAAGTTACTCCCTGTGGCTGTGGAAGGTTCCAGAGCATGCACCTGCCCATGGGCTCCCATATCTCATTAAGAATGTTGGGCCAAAAACCCCTCCATCCCCTGTGGTTGTACAGGAGCCTAGAACCCTGCATCCAGTAAGGTGCCCACAGTGCTGGCGGGACTACATAAATGAGATAAAATTTAAAATTCAGTCCCTTGGTAACACTGACCTTATTTCAAGTGTGCAAGAGCCAGGCGCCATGAGCAGATACCACACAGCATGTGCCCCTGGCAGCACTCCAGAATCCAACCCCAGAATGACGACTGCTGGGTGCAGGCTAGCCATATATTTCTAAGGCACTTTGCAGATGAAAATACATTTTGTATATATTACAGAACTTTATTCTAGCAACAAGGTTGTAATGTAAGCAAACTGGTCACCATGGTTTAAATGTGTAAAAGGCACACAGACAGAAATACAAAGGAGACTACAACTCAGGTCTTCCGGCTTTTAGCCAGACTCTCTCCACTACAGTTTATGTAATTATATGTACATTTTAATAAGTAAATTTCTTATTGCAAGTCACTCAGAATTGCGGAGCCAGTAGTGAAACAAAACATGAAAACAAAAAACCGTGGCTAGTTAAGGTGACCCTAAATAAACACACTCCTAACATGCATATCTGATTAAGCCTCTCTCTATTTCTCAAGTTACAGGACTAGACATATTAGCTATTGAACAAGATCTCTTCTACCTGTCTTGCTTTATGGGCTGTGTTAATGCCATGATTTCTTAGGCAGCTCACAGCTCTTGGATCTGGGGACCGGCCCACGTTCCAGTCAGAAACAGCGCCGCTGTCAATGACCCACTGCAACACAAAACACACGCGTGCGCCTTCAAGTTCAAGCACAGTACCTGCCGGGCAACGTGATTCATGGGAATGCCATGCTTCCTCATGCAATCCTGCCCTCGGTAATCTGGAGGGTTTCCTATTTCATACGTGGATGTCGCTGCACTGTCTATCCTCCACTGCAGGAGAAAAAAAGAAGTTTTTTCACAATTTCCTGCCCCAAAGGCTTTTGGGCGGCCTCTTTAAGACAGTGAACAGTACTTACGTTATCTGAGACATTTTGGTCAGTTACAAGTTTTCTGAAAACTGCTTCTGCAATAGGTGATCGACAGATGTTACCTTGAAAAAAGGGGAGGGAGGGCAGAAAGTGAGTGTCAGGGCCAATGGAAGGGGCTGCACCTGCGATCCACAAACTGCTTGGCACCCCTGGCACTGTGCTAGTGCTCCCCTGGGAAGGCACGTTATTGTCCCATCAGGACATGGAGCACCCATGGACCACAGTCCCCCAAATCCAAGTTCAACACCTTGAGTCCAAAGTACAAAAAACAAAGACATCAGATAAACATGAACCAAATACTGACCAAATCATGCTTTTTGAGGTTGTTAGCAATGACCCAGAAGTGAGTCATGAAATCAATGAACAGGGTTGCCACCAGATCACTTCAAGAGGTACAAATATGAATTTTCAAGCATACTGCAAGTAAGGATAAATGCTAGGAGGGCTCTAAACAAGAAGGGCAGATGCTAGAAGAGCTCCAAACAAGAAGCTTTCTGGTCCTCAAGGATGCCTCACCTCCTGTCATCCACATGTGACTATACTCAGAGCCCTAAAAGCTTGGAGGCTCACCGGAGCCCCAGTGCCCTGGGTTTACTGGGTTACTAACTAGGCATGACTGCATTTGACAGCAGGCCCATAGTCCAATCAACCTCCAGCACCAGCCATCTCAGCATCCAGCCTGTAAGGGCCTTCCTGGCATGAGCCTCTCCTATCACTCCTAGGGAACTCCAAGGGGTAAGGAGGTTACCCCCCAGGGGCCAGGGTAAAGGGCAGACCTTCCATTAGGTAGACAGAGTCCTCAAGGGAAAAGGCAAGACAAGAAAATTCTTCTCTCAGAATATTTCTACCACGTGCCAAGCAATGTATTTATGGGTGACACAGAATTAGCTCTAACAAAACAAGAAAACAAATGCTGATAGACAAGCAATACACTATGGGAGCAGTCACTCCACACCAACGAAGACAGCTGTTATGTTGGTGCAGAGCTAAAAGAGGCCTCACCCCTGCACAAATAATTACGATTAACTATGAAATAAGAATGCAGTCTTCCCACAAGACAAAAGCCTGCATTATTTACTGTCTTAGAGTTACAGCATATTCATCACATTTATTTTTTCCCAGATATATTTCCAGCAGGATGTGTGTATACATGTAGACAGAAAGAAAACTCCCTACTACAAACATGAGAGGTGAAGTCACAGCACCTGTAAGATCAACAGGGTAAGATCCCTGCCTGCTTATCCCTAGCCCTCCTGACTTCAAAAGTTGGTATCCCCAAATTATCACATAATTTTAAAAAGCAGTGCATCAGAAAAGCACAGTATTTCAGGTTTCATCTCTGGAAAAGTTCTAAAAGCTTGAAGTGTTATCTTCAGATTTCTTTAGAAAAAAGTTTCAAATTTGAAGTCTCAAGTTTGCTTTTCCCAAATTAGGCAGCATAATCCTCTTACTCAACACCTTCATCCCAAGGTTGGAAACTCATAAATCATGTCCGCACAGGGTAGGGGATCTGTCATTGCCAAGCATGCATGCCCAACACCTAACACGGCATGTGGCATCTATCAAGTGCTCAATAAACTCATCAGCTGTAGGACGAAGGCGATGTAACACCCCTGGTACCCTGTCATCTCCAGCAGCGCCAGCAGAAGGGCTGATGAGCGGCACACATTCCACAGTATGTCTCTACCTTACAGAAATATAAAACACCTAACAGTCTTGCCAAAATAAGGAGTTCAGGCTTCTGCCAGTAGCCTTACCAATGGAAAACACTCTACAATTCAGTCTGAAAAGGGTCCAAAGAAAATGCCTGGAGGAATAAAATTTTTGCATTTCAAAAACACACCACTCTTACTGTCCTATGTACAGGCTGCCATGTGAAATGGCACACGTCGACCTCTCAAACCTCCAGAGTTCATCTACTCAGCACCTGCACTAGGGACGCTCTGGTCCAGCACATGCTCCTCTCTGCATGCTGGCCTCCTGGGGCCCTCACCCCTCCTGGGTCCAATCTCAACACCACAGCTGAGCAGTTTGTTTTAAACTTCCCGCCTCTGTTCCAAATCCTCCAAAAGGCCTGCCTCGTTCAGAAGAAACCCAAGGGCTCACTGGCCTCAGCAGACTGTCCTCAGGCCCTAAAACAGGGGCCACGAACTGTGGCTCATGGCCCACAACCTTACTGTACAGCCCACACAACTAGGAAGAAGTTTTACATTTTTAAACAGTGGAAAAAACTCAAAAAGCAGAACATCTTGCGATGTGAGGGAATTTTATAGAGTTCAGATCCCACATCCATGGAGGAAGCTCTGGCGGAACAGAGCCAAGTGGGGCTGCCTGTTCTGCGGGGGCACCTTCGCACGACACCGTTAGCACGGCCTGCAGAGTTTGCCATTTACTGTGGCTCCTTACACAGCTGAGAGACTCCTGCCCGAGCACATGCACTGTACATAGCGAACTGACTTCCCTGTACTTTGGGAATGGTACTGGTAATGAATCCACGGGAGGACTCAGAAACGGCCACTCAGATTTATCTTCAAGTCGTCAGGTAAGATGAGGGTCCTGGCTGAGAAGGGCCACATGGTCACTGGGCCTGGCCACCGTGGCTCCCTGGCTGTTTCTAGAACACGGCCAGCACTCTCACTCTAAAACCCCTCAGGACCCAGAACGCTTTTTCAAAATACCTTTGACTTGCTTCCTCAGCTCTTTCAAGTCTTTGCTCAAATGTCGCCTTGTAGGTGAGGCCTTCCCTGAGCACCCCAGTGAAAACTGCACTCCCCTCCCATCCCTGTCCCTAGCTTTATTGTTCTCACACACCACCGAGTCACCCAGTACTTGACTGGTGACTGGACGTGAGCTCCGGAGAGGCAGGGTTTTAGTCTGTTCTGCTCACTATCCCCCTAGTGCTCAGAACTGTGCCTGGTAAGAAAAATTGTATGGAAGACAAGTATGTACAATCATACAACTCCCATTAACAGCCTCCACGTACATTATGTCAGCACAATCAACAACACTTAGTAAAATAAACGAGGCAATGGAATCCTGTTAGATGCCCAACCTGAACTGAACTGCCCTTTAATAAACAAGATTCCAGTAGTTAGCCTTCACCAGAGAGCTTAAAGAACAAACGATGCCTGCTACCAGCACGAAACAATGGGGTGGCCCTTTTACTTTTCCCCTCATAGAAACTCAATTCTGTAAATACCAAGTGACTGTCATATATTAGTGTAACCCTGCAAATACAAAGGAAAAGAAGCCACAGTCACTGTCCTCAAGAGGGCTTAACCAAGCTGTGATCTCAAGTAGTTATAATAAAACCTGAGTAATAAATGTCTATAATGGATTATGAATAACTACCTCCATTTAAAGGATCTACGAAAAGTAAAGAGAATATTTGGGCCTAATCTTACAGAAAGGCTTTCCAGGCAAAATTCAAAGGGTGCTCAGAAATAGCCACACAATCAGAGGCACACTGAGCATCTGAAGTGCTAGGAAAAGCAAGTCATTATATTACGAAAGGCAGTGTTCATGGGGTGTGGGTAGGAGAAGACAATGGAGACAAAGTGGAAAAGTTAAGAGACTTCAGTCATTCCTTGAAAGGCATACTGTGAAAAGCGGAAACTTCATTCCTTAGGAAATGCAGACTTCAGGAGATTTAAATTAATTAGACCACTGACATTTTACGCCTTCCTCTTTGGGTGTTAAGGAGATTAAGGTGGAAACGCTGAGTAATATAACCTGTGGTGCTACCAAAAGAAGAACCCTGAAAACTAAAGAAAATATTAATTCTACTTTAAATAAGATAGGCTAACTGCTGAAATTCTAAGAATGAAAATAATTCTGAGCTGCTAGGTACTTAAAGGATTAAATGCAAAAATACCTTCACTATAACATGGAGGAACTAGAACACTGGGGCATCGGACTGGGTCACATACAGACCTCGAAAACCAGGCGTCCTGGTTGGGCTTTTACGACCAGGGAACGGAAGCCCTTGCCCTCCACCCGCCTTCAGCTCCCTTCGTAAGCGTGGACCGAGGAAACGAGCCAGCAAACCAGTGCTGTCACAGGTGCTGGGGAATCAGGACTCTCCCGCGACTGCATCAGCCCAGCGGCCTGGAGTCCGCCCGGTGAAGGAAATCAAGGCTTCTGGGCAGGTGAGAAGGAAGGGACCAGCCTGCAGGTGGGCAGCGCGGACCGAGACGGGGCACCCATCCCACCCTCGGCGTTCCGGCTCAGCGGCACAGGACAGCACCGAGGCCCACCCGACCCTCTGGGAAAATCGGAGTGGACCATATCGGCGCCTCTCACCCAGACACACGAAGAGCACGGACTTCGGTACGCGCTCCGCCATCTTCCCACGCGCAGGCGCCCACCGACAGCGTTCGAACGTTTCTGGAGCGGCGCAAGCGCCCTCGAGCGTCCCACCCCAAACGCCTGCGCAGTTCGGCCCCAGCCCTCCGGGGCGGAAATGCGGGCCCCGCGCCTGCGCAATTCGACCCTGGCGGCAATGGCAGGAGGCAGCGTCGAACTACCGGGCCGACCGGGGGCGGGGCTTCGGGGAGAGGGTGGCGGCGTGGCGGAGGGCCCGGGCTCGGGAGAGGCGTGGGGCGGGCCCAAGTGCAGGTGAGGTAGCGAGTCACCTAGCGTCGGGGAGGGGCTTGGGGAAGGGGCCGGGTGTGCGGGGCGGAGGCACCTGGGGGCCCCGCGAGGGCGCTGTCACTTGGAGCGGAGCCCTGCTCGCACGGCCCTCCCGGGGCTGCCGGAGAACCGGGAGCGCGTGGTGGGGCTGTGACGCCGCGGCGCGCTGACCGAGGGGCCGGCCTGAACGCGCCCTGCTCGGCTTCAGGTGGAAGCCCCCCTGGCAGGGGCCGCGTGGCCGGGAGGCTAGGCCGCGATCTGGGCGCGGGGTCCGCACGGGATCGGGCATCCCGCGCCGGGCCGGAACCTCCGCACAGAACGGCCTGACCCTGAAAAGATGGGGCCCCTCTGGGGGCTCGCGCTTGAGCTTAGGCCTTTCCTCGCCGCCCCAACAAGGGCTGCGCAGCTTTTGTCCCGCGAAGAAGTTTAAAGTAAGTGCTTTGCACTGGACGCTTGCGGGGCGTGTACCTGCCCCTTACCTGTCCCAGGTGTGCACCTAGCCGGGCCAGCTTGGGGAGGAGGAGCCTACGCGGAGCGCCCTTCCTCTTCCTGGGTGGGTGGGGGCAGCTCCCGGGGCGTCGCTGCAGACCAGGCTCGGGTCACAAGTGAGTACAGGTGGAACACCCGAGCCTCACCTGGCTTCGGGACCCCCACCCACTTCTTTTGAAAGTTCGGCTGGAGGGTAGGCGGTTGGTGGAGGAGGCCGCAGCCGCGCGTATAGAGACCGTCGGGTCACGGCCGGCTGCCTGGGGTCAGCCCAGAAAGCCATCCCAAGCTCCTGGTCTTAACGACTGCGATTCATTTTATGTTATTTGTGAAGATCTGATATTCGAAAAGCCACGTATTGGTGGCCGTCCTTTTCAGTCCCATTTGTCTTAGCAGGTGACATCCTAGAGCGCTCTGGGCGGTACAGGTGTGGCCCCTTGCCTGGGGTCAGAGGGCGCCGAGAGCCGGTAGCGGGCTCAGGCTTGTGGATGGCGCTGCGAGGGCGGTTTGCCCTGGTTTGAAGTATGAAACTGCCTGGGGTGGTAGGCGACCTAAATGAAAGGAGATTTACCTTGATGGCTGGAAATGTGTCATTTCAGTCATTTCAACCGATTGTCCAGCGTTATCAGTGCTGCTGCTGAGGCTGAGTTGGGAAGGATGACACAGACCTGGGACCCCTGCCCACAGACAGCTGGATTCCGAGGGGCCCAGAATGTGCCACCAGCAGCGGGGAGGCTTTCGGCTTTCATCCGCCTGCTGGCATGCGCGCCTTGCGTGCCTGTTCTGTTTTCCCTGGGATGTGGGACATGCCTCAGTTAATAATGACTGAGAATCTGTGCACAAATAGCTGACTGTCAGGTGCCGCTCACCCTTGGCCCTGCCTGGCTGGGGGTGCTTGCAGTTCATATGTTGGAGGTTAGAGTGATCAGAATAAGTTACAACCTCCATACTATTTATCATGTTTAAAGAGAATTCTTTGGTTTACTAATGTACCATTTAAACAAAATTTCTATAAAATGAATAAATGCCACCCATCATCATTTGTGAGATTCTTTGCTCATTGAGAATGATTCCATACTTTTATTCCAATTAGAGAATCTTTATCTGCAGGAGATATCTCACAACTGAGGAAAAAAGATGTGGTGTTTCAAAAGAAAAAAAAAGGTGGTCCAGGTCATAGCGACTGTGTTTCTGGGTTGACTGGTGGCCACAGAAGCCCTTCCACACATTGCCTCATTTGCAAATGAATCATGATAAAACAGTAATCCTGTGCAGTTTAAGGCCTCACACACTGAATTGTTCATTTCCTTCAAGAAGAGTCCATTTTTCACCCCACATGTTTAAACCAGAGTGGCATGTGTAGTCTGAGCCGGGATCACCCTGCAGTCTGAGAAGTGGTAAAGCTGTGAGCCAAGCGTGCCCTAGTACTCCTAAAGTTCAAGACTTCTCATCACTCGTTCCCTCTCTGCAGCCTGAGGTCAGGGGAACTAGAAGGTTACACTAATGTTTGGGGTTCAAATGGTCAGTCTGGTCAGTCTGGATTAAAGTTTGGATTTGGAAGTTTAGTGATCTGACCAGGGAGACCGGTTTTGGTTTGTAGAATTGAAAGCTTTGCCTCAAGCAAGTAATGAAATCGAGGCCACACAGCAAGATTAGATTTGGTGTAAGAAACAATGGCAGTTGTTATCAGTCAGGGGTTTTCAAGATGATAATGTTCTAGTAAGGGTTCTGAGCTAAAGGCAATATTTTAGAAAGATTACATATATAAGGTTTATTTTTTTTTGGTTAAGATTTAATGTATTCTAAATGTTCCCTTAGCATTCTAGTTCCTTTGATTATGGTTGGTATTTTATCAGTTTACTAACAACCTCTTTCATATAAATTATAAGGCTTAATAATTTGATTAATATTTAATTATCAGTGTAATTGTAATAGAAATTTGGAAACTGTTCCTTGCTTGTAAATGTTCCTAATGATACACTTCCCATACCTAAGAGTCTTCTGAGGAAAGTAATATAAAGGGTGCTTGTTGATGGAAGTGCAGTGTGGGAGTCCCCTGCACCCTGGCCATGAGGTGGGAGGGCCTGCCTGTCCCCCGTGCTTGCTTGCACCCCAGACCTAGGTAGAGCGTCCGGTGGACACTGGTCACTTTCTCCCCTGGTGTGGCAATGCACTCTGGGTAGGACTCTGATGTGGCTCTTTTCACACCTCCCCTCCAGCCCTGAGTTTATTGCCCTGTGATCAATATGTAAATTATTTCCACATCTTAAACTCATTTCAAGCTTTTGAAGTTTCCAAAGTAAAAATTTTCTCTCCAGTATTTTGTAAATTCTTCTTAAATTAAAAAAAAAAATTGTCTTAGTATGGAAATTTTAAAATATTTTAATTACTTCTAAACAAAATTTTACATCCAAGTTTCTTTGCTTAGGTTTGGCAACCATCCTCTACTGAGGAGGAAACTCAAATATTTACAAGAGAATTTGGTTTGCTTGATAATTCAAGAGACTAAAGACTTTCATGAATGTTCAGATGTCAGCCATGATTTAAAATTTAAAAGACTTCTTTAATAATGGCCTGTGTCTTCATAACTTCAGCAAGATAGTGATACCAACATTCTGACAGACCGTGCTCTCATTACTGTACAGAAGAGGAAATGTGGGCGAGCCGAGGACAGGAGTGGAGGGTCGTATCTAAGTTGTTGTTCATTGTCTCTGACAGAGAAATTCACTATATATAACTATGGCCAGGAATATGATTTCATCAGAAATTTAGTAGAATCTGTACTATTGAAACAGATTCACCAGGCTTTTCTGTAGCTGAACACAAAGGTATGCTTGCTGACTGGCATTGTCAACTCCCAGCTTGCAGCCACAAAGGACTGTGTCCGGACACAACTCACGCTCAGTAACCTGAGCTCTGTGGTCTGCAGGCATCCCAGGCTGTATCTGAATTACCAAGTCTTAAGAGTTTTTCCTCTCATGTTTACAGAAGAGGCTATGACCTCCCCTAACAGCAGGATGTTTGCAGTAGCAACTCTCAGCTGTGGAATTTGCTTATTTGTCTGGCGTAATTCTCCTTGGTTGATGGAGTTCAAAGTAGAAAGTCTCTTGGGGGTAAGATTTACATGTTATTTGCTGTGCTGTAGTTGCATGTGTCAAATAATTGGTCCAAAATAGCTTTAGCAGAGAATGATTTTACTGGTCCTTGTGACTCAGCAGTTCAGAGCTCCTCTGGCCTCACCTGTGGCCCCATCCTGGGCTCCTGCAGTGCCAGCAGAGCCAGGTTCTCCCTACAACTTTTCTCAAATGTTCCTCTGCATGACTTTGTTCTCAGGTTCCCCCTCTGTAGTGACAAAATATTTAGCAGGTCCAAACGGAAGTACCTGGGAAAGAGTTCATCCGGCAGCTCCCACCCAAGTCCCCAGTCTGCTGGTAGTGGATCAGCTCTGGTTAAGGTGCTCTGCAGTGACTCCAGGAGACAGTCCCAGGTGCTGACGTGGGTCACCCGCTCTGCTCCAGGCACAGCGTTAGTAAAACAGACTGTGCTGTTATTCCAAAAAGAACAGTGTTCCCCCATAGTTCACTAATTCAGTAAGATGTGTTGGGCATCTTAATGTATGAACAGGGCACTCTCGGGGCACAAAGATTAGTAAAAAGTGCTGCCTCTGTAAAAATCAAACGAATATTCATATTTGACCTGATTGTTTATAGTTAGTTCATAATGAGTGATCAAAACCGAAAGTTTTTGTGATGACTGCCCTTGTACTGTTCACCATGTAAGAACTTATTCACTATGTAAGAATTTGTTCAACATGTAAGAAAGAACTTGTTCGTTATGCTTCAGAAGATTGAAGACTGACGAGAATTAGGCTGGGGGTGGATTAATGATTGTGCATTGAGCATTGACTCCCCTATACAGAATTTTATTGTTGTTAACAACCATTTGATCAATAAATATGAGAGATGCCCTCTCAAAAAAAAAAAAAAGTGCTGCGTCTGCTAAGGACAGTCATTCAGTGTTGGAAAAGGTGAGAGCAGAAAGGAAGTGGGAGAAAAGACAGGGGTTGGGTAGGGCCTCATCCGAATAGGTGCCAGGAATGTAAAGTGCCCCTGGCCCCCCTTTCTCCCTGGAGGCAGTCACCCTGGGGGCACCAGGTCTGTGCCTCACTGTCTCTGGGGTTTGTGCTTGTCCTGTCTGAGGGTACTGCAGCCCTGACCTTTGTTTAAGCACAAGGTCCTGGCTGGACAGCAGTTGGGTCCTGCGTGTGGAGCCTCTGGCTCTCCTGTGCCCTCTGGGCTACAGCGAGCTTTGTGGGGTGGGGCACCCTTGGCACTGGGTGAGTCCAAGGCTTCTTGGGGCCTGCCCCTGCTGGCCTCATTGCACAGTGATGTCATTAAGGGTTTCTTTGTCTGTCTGTCTGTCTGTCTGTGTGGCCCTCTCTCTCCTGGTTTTTTTCAGGGCATTGTGCTATCAGCTTGTACCTGGCTTCCCTCTGAGCCTCCTCAGGGAGGTGCTACGGTCTGAGTGAGAGGCAGGAAAACTATGACGGTTTCTTCTAAATCCATTGGGGGGTCTGTGTAAGTGAACATTTTCTAGCCCTCACAGGGATTTGACCTTCAGTTCCCCAAAGCCACACAGATACCTGAACCATTTAATAAATATTTATTGGGCACTTAATCCCAATAAGTGTGTCATTCTGGCGTGTGTCAGAGACACCAGAGTTAGTAGAACCGTCAGTGTGCTACCCCCACTGTGTTTACATTCCAGCGAAGAAGACGTACAAGAAAGGTCAGACAGACACAGGTACAGACAGACAGAATGAGGGATGGAGGGGAGGCAGTGGTGATACAGGCCATGGTACAGACTAAATCTGATGGGAAAACTTGGGGAGATGCGAGCAAAGGAATAACAGTCCCTGAGATGTTACTTGCAGCAGTTCCTTGGAGAAGTTACCCCACGTTCAAGATGGAGCAGAGAAACCGACACGGCATGAGGATAGGCACTGTGCGCCCAGCTGGCACAGAGGTAGCGGCAGACGTGCTCGGGTTCTGAGTGTACGGGAGGGGTTTGTACTGAGGTTGGCCCAGGGCTTGAGAGACAGAGGCCCCAGGGCTCTGGTTTTGAGCATGTGCTCCTGGAGGCCTGGGGAGGAGATGGGCATCAGCAGACCCATAACTGACGGCTCACTGGATGCTTGATACTGAGATCGAGTAGGTAATGGGTATAGAGCCTGGGACTTAGGGGAAGCTTAAGGAATAGGCAAAATTTGGAGCATTAACAGATAGTGTGGTGCCCAGGGTCATGGTGTCTGAGGGTAACTAGAGAAGGTGGGGCCTCGGCGAGGAGGGGAGGGCCCTGGAAGGGGCCAAGCAGGACCTGGGGGCAGTGCTGGCCACCTCCAGGAGGGCAGATCTGCTGCTGCTGCTCAGGCCACTGATTGCTTTGGGCGGGAGAGGGAGGGGTGGCGCCCAGGAGCCAGGAGCAGCTGTGTGCTGAAGCTGTGCCATAGCCCCACTGGTCAAGCCCTGGCGGGCTTCAGCGGTCCCAAGGGCCCTGCGGAATGGTTCCTGCAGAAGCGGCCTTTCCTGTTGGTCTTGGAGGATGAGTTGTATTCCAGGAGGTCAGAGGCTAGGGATTTGTTTCCTTAAAGGGCCAGTTGGTGCTCATGCTGGGCTTTGTGGACCAAGGAGCACCCGTGAGGCAGGCTTCCACAAGCTTCCCCGCTGATGAAACGGAATTATCATAATAAGCGAGAACTTTTGATGAGCAGAGTGTGATTCTTTGTGGGGGTCGTTGTGTGCTCCAGCTTCAAAGCCAGGCTCCTGGGCAGGAGAGGAAGCCAAGCTGCTCATGGCACGCAGGCTGCCGGGCTGGCCCCTCATGGACCTCATGTGTGCGCCTGTCTGCGTGAACTCAAGGACAGCGCTTTGCGTGTGCCTCTTCATCCGAGGCATGTCTGTGCCCTAAGAGGTCAGGCTGGAAATGACGCCCTGCTCTGTGTTCCTGTAGGAGACTCAGGGGGCCAGCAGCCAAGGAGCCCTGGACTCTGGGGTTGGGGTGATGGGAATGGAGGGAGCTAGGGGCAGGACCAGGTCCTCCATTCTGTCTCAAAAGCACCGCCCTACGAACATTCTGCGAGCTGTACTCGTTTCCAGGCCACTGTCACAACCTGTGACAGGCTGTCAGGGGTCAAGGCCGTACTCCCTTCCACCTCCGGATTCTGGGGGCCCCAGGTGCTCCCTGCCTTGGGGCTGCTACCTCCAGTCTCTGCTTCCACTCTCTGTGTCTCTCCTACCATTGGATTCAGGACCCAGGGAATCCAGGGTGACCTCAACCTTGACGTAATCACATTCTGCAAAGATCCTTTTTCCAAATAAGGTCCCTTTCACAGGGCCAGGTGGACACGGATTGGGGGCCACCCTTCACCCAGCAGACAGTGCCTCAGCAAGCACACCTGTGAACGGTACCCACAGTTGCTGAGTGCGTCTTTCTGCCCCAGCACAGCCTCCAAAGCGGCTGTGATTCACACGCCCCATCGACAGAACCCAAGTCCCCCTTGTGCCACAGCCCTGCCCATGCTCACTGACAGCTTTTTAAATTTCTTCCAGTTTAGAGGATAAGGGATGGTAGGTCACCTCTGTCACCTGGAGTGACCACTCAGGTCCTGACTCCTGGAATCTCACCAGTGAGGGAAATCCAAATAGTTCATACATTTTGACCAAAATAGCCAAAAATATTAAATTTTACATAATCTATTACAGAATGAAGTAAAATGCATCTTTTTTTAATTCTTAAAATTTTAGTGTTTTTATTAGTATTGAGGTTAATTAAGAAGTACAGGGAAAAGACATATAATTGAGGGACTGGGCCAGATTTTTTGTTTAAGATCCTTTAGAATCCCATGATTTTATTATTTCTGGGATTCTGAGAATTTAGGTTTTCCCAGTCTCAGAGTGAATTTAATTTACTAGGAAAATAGAGATGAAATAATCAATAATTAAAGATTTCTGATTCGTTTATTTTATCTGGTAGGATACAATTTGTTAATGCTTGATCATATATGTGAAAAGAGAAATTACAATAAATAGTAGATTTATTTCATTAAAATCTTTCTTAATCTTTCAGTGAATAACCCTATACCTTCCAATTTGAAATCAGAAGCAAAAAAGGCTGCTAAAATTCTGAGAGAATTCACAGAAATTACTTCCAGAAACGGACCTGATAAGATCATTCCTGGTAGGTAAATAAAATACATAACTGTTGGTGTCCAGATTCTTGTTTTCTGAATTACTTTTCCCATTCCCTGCCCTCCGGCGGGTGGCAGCCCTGGGAGCCGAGCGCTCAGCCCTCAAGTCCCCACCGACCTTCCCAGCAGAGCCTGGGCGGCCTTGCACCCCGCGCGCCCCTCCGTCCCCGCTGAGGGCCTCTCCCTGCGGCTCTCCTCACAGCCTGTCCTCAACCTCTGGGGGCTGTGCAAGTCCATCTTACAAACTCACTAGCTAATCTCATAAATAAATTTTAATTTTTTGTTCTCTCCTTCTACTTATTTACATTTTATAGTCATTTCAGAAGACATTCATCACTGATTCCCAACACAGCTGCACATCAGTATCCCTGGGCCATTAAAAACAGTCCCTAAACTCCCCCAGACTGTTGAATCAGACAGGGTGCAGGGAGGCCAGGAGTGCAGATTCAACACGTTTCTCTCGTGACTCTTCTGCAGTCAGGCTGACCACATAAGCCCTGGTCAGGAGGGGGGCTGCCCTCTATTCACCACCACACAGATGTTTCTGAAGGGACTTTCCTGGAGTGCTCACCCCATGCCAAGAGGACCTGTATGCAAACGAGTAATGTTGCGGACTAATGTCCCTCTTAGTCTAACGTACCTCTCTGATCCTGCATTAAAGAAACCAATCTAATGTCTTAAACCATATTTTCTGGGGTCATTTAACAGAACTTTAAATATTTTAGGCATTTCAGTTTGTTGTTATAGTGTGTCCTTTTTGGCCCAGCAGCTCCGTCTTCATGGGCCTTTGCTTCTCCACATGAGTTGGATGGCACAGAGCTCAGGCCCCCTCGGGCCTGGGGGGTCAGAGCCTGTAAGTTTTGCAAGAGTTCCAGTGAGCTGTGTGTATACAAGTTTGAAAAGATGTGCTATAGAAATTGAAGAAAATCCAGCCAGAAAAACTGAATTTCCAGTAGCAATATTCTGAATCAGGAGATAGAATGCATTTCTTGCTAGATATCAGCATCTATAAACCTGTCAGGCTTGCCCAATTTATGGATAAATGTGTTTACTAACATAACATCTGAGTGAATCACTCTCAGATTTTGTACAGCAACATTCCATCTTCCTTCTGCCTCCAGACAAATGCCAGTGACACCCTTTCAGTGGGTGTAGCTCAGAAAATGAGAATCAGTTCACATAGCGGCCTGCGTAAGCACCTCCCCTGGGGTGTCCAGGCTGTGTGTTTTAGGGAGGCGACAGCCGGCCTCACCCTATCTAGAGCCTGCCTTGGGGTGAGGTGAAAGAGCAACATGTTCATATTAAACTACGGTGATCTGTTGTCATAGAAGGTAAATTCTACCAACCATTCTAGAATAAAATGCCAAGATCTGTAGACCTGGTGATGTGAGCTCACCACTCTCTGGGTTAAGGGCCATGAGATAAAAGTGAAACTAGATTAAGAGTGTAAATCTGCAGTCAGGACATTCTAGTTACAAATGAAAAGCTAACTGGCAAATTATTTAGGGATTACTGGTATTTTAGTGTCCCCAGATTTGGGTGGGTAATCTATAAGGACATACTTGACATTTGAAATATGTTCATTTTAAGACATGCTTTCATTGTATCTAATGTTTCTAAACAGAGGTAAAAAGAATTTTGATTCTAAAAAGCGTCCAGTGAGAAGGGAATGTGAGATGGTGAGGAAGATATTCTGCCAACATGTGGCGGTAAAAACAAACCCAGCTGCCACATAATACAGCTTTCATCCTTACTGCAGCATCCGACCTCATGTGCGGACCTCTGGGGAACAGAGGCAGCTCAGCGGGCTACCTGCCATCTGAGGCCGACCTTGTTTTCTTTCCTTTTTTTTTTTTCAACCTTATTTTCTATACCTTGCTTAATTATGAACAACTTTACAAATGTTAACTTCCTTATTTCTGAGACTCTGCTATTAATTTAAATTTTGAAATGATGTACATAATTATATTAGAAATTTAGTGTTTTTTTCCTAGGGACACCTATAAAACCTTCTTTGTATGTTTGAGTACAGTTTCTAGTTTGACTTCCTTGACAGAGTATTTGACTGAAGTGATGATAAATTAAACTACCTTAAAAAGATATCAGGGTCCAAGAATAATTTCCAAAGTTTAAGCTTCCCTGGTTATTTTGAAATAACAGTTGTGTAACTAAGTCCACAGAACTGTGAGGCACCATGTTTAGTGGTATTATTATATATTAATGACCTTCATTTTATGTAATGAATTTTCCTGAAATGTGATTTTATGAATAGAGTTACATTTTCTGTGCACTAGTAGTTATGTGTCCTTTGAATAATATAACACATCTTTTTATAAAGTTAATAAACTTCTTAGTGTGGCAAGGTCACTTGATTTTTCTGCTTTTGAATCCAGATTTCCATATTAATAAAGAGTGAACTTAACTATATGGTTTTAAGATCAAAGTTCTGCCATGTGCTGCACGTTGGCCATTTTTTAAAGTTCCTCCTTAATGCTGTATGGATCTTACCTTCTTTGAAAACAGCCAACTTGTTTAAGTTACAAATTATGTCTTAAATTGATTGAAATCTTCAAATCATTTGTCCTCTATTAATACTGATAAAACCTCATCCAAGGGCCTCATTTATTACAATGTCTCTTTAGCCATACAGAAATGACATGAAGGGAAAGGCAGGAGAGAGGCCTGCGGCCCATGTCACGTCACGAAGGCCCACCGAGCCTTCTCCTGAGACCCTGTAAGCCCGTGGGCAGAGCCCTGTGCGCAGGGATGGTCAGCCTTGCTTACCTGTCGGGCAGGTGCACTGACAGTGCTGACTCCCTGCCGTCTCCACCTTTTGCAGCCCACGTGATTGCTAAAGCCCAGGGCCTTGCAGTCCTGTCTGTGATAAAAGCCGGGTTTCTGGTGACTGCCAGAGGAGGCAGTGGGATCGTGCTGGCGCGGCTTCCAGATGGAAGTAAGTGGCTGTTTCTTCACCTGAGGAGTAGGGAATCCTAATTGTACTGTTCCCATTTTGAGCGCACTTCGTAGGCAGCATGACAGGGTTCCCCATGCCACCCAGAGCTGTCTTCCCGAGGGCTGCTCGCTGGGCTGTCAGCTCACCAAGGCCGTGAACCTTCCCATTTCTCTCCTCTTAAAGTATCAGGCAAGTCTCAGTGGGTAGATTGGCTTTGTCTTGTATATATTTTGTAATTCTTCATGGAGAAAATATTAAACATGACATTATTTGCCTTTCTATTGTTAAATATGAATTCTTGTTCCTCAACTTCATAATACAAACTGTTTTCTTTTGCTTCATGAAGTTGATAAGAAAATAAGGGCAATCTGTAAGCTTTTCTACTGTTCCTATGGGAGAATGTATGAACTGAAATATTTTAAAGAATATACCCAAGGCAAAATCATATCAAGATCAATATAATTTGCTTTTACTTTGGGATGAAATCTATATTTGATTTTTCATAGATGAAATTAAAATATATTTGCCTTGAATTCCACGAAACAACATTTAGAGTAATATTTAAAATGTATATTTGTGTGTTGTAACCAACTAAAATGCTTTTTATACCATTTAACATTTGCTGCTCATACAATTGAACACATTTTTCTGTTAATAGCTATATTTTAGCACAGACAATTTAATTTTACCTTGAGAGCAAGCAGGGGACACTGGCAGCAGGTGCCTCCAGACGTTTGAGGAGCACATGCCCTTGAACAACCAGGCCCGCCGTTTCCTGTGAGGAGAACCTCCAGTGAATGCATCTCCCTTGAGGCCAGGCGTGTTTCACAGCTTGGTGCTTGGCTATGAAACAAAAATGGCCGAGTTCTCTTCTCAACATGACACGAATTTCCGTGGGAGACTTCTTAGCTGTACAAGCAGACCCAGGAGCACTGAGAGCCTCTGCGGCCTGGGCTCCAAGTCCTAGGTGGTGCCCACGCTCACGGCAGGGGGACCGGCCAGGAAGGTGGAGGAGGCAGCCTCTGGGGCTTCCCACAGGATGCATTAAATGCTAAATTTCTTTCTCACTGTCCTGAGTGGTGTTGCCCCCTCTACAGGGGGTATTTAGGAACCCCCACATAAGCTGAGCTGACCCCAGGCCTGTCCAGGTGCAGGGCCTTCAGAGAGGGCCAGTCCTCACACAGGAAGCTTGAACACCACGGTGGGACTCCGACAATTGCTGTGACCCACATGCTAGACTGAGGCAGTTTGCTTCTGGAAATAATTAAAACTGCCCTGTATCTAGGACACATGATAGCAAGGACACTTAGGGTCAGGAAGCTAATAGGTCTTTCCAGAAGTACTTGCCTAACCACCTCCTCCCCCAAATCAATTTTTTTTAGACTCATTTCACAGAATTGTTCCTGTGTCAGGAAGAATAAGCATAACAATAATGATCATGCAAATGGAATTATCATACTTAGTTTCCAAATATAAGGACATGTATCCTGCTAGAATTTTAACTGGAACTTATAGCCTATTTCGTGTGCTTCTATTAGGCACAAAGCGCATCAAAACAGTTTCATCCTCAGAAAATTATACCAGAAACAGTTTAGTATTCTGTTACTCTTAGGGATGATTACCATGAGCTCTTTTAGATCCTTCTGCCCTCTTATATCTATGATAAAATTCTAACCAAAGGCTATGATTACAGCTCAATTATTTTATAAAACATTAAAAACACAGGTAGTTGAAATGATCAAATGCTACATGCAGATAGCTGATGAGAATTCAGGAGTTGGGCATTATGCATGTTTATAGAGAAGGTTGGAGAACATGGTGTGCAAGTCTTTGAGACTCACTGTAAATATCTAATACCTTTCAAGTATCTATAACTTAAAACACTATATGCTTATTAAAGAGCTTTTAAAAACACAGGGGATATGCCAAAGTCTCGTTAAAAGATATACTATTCATTCATATCTTAGCATTTTCCTTCCACAGTTAAGTGCCAAGTGGTTTTAACATATCTGTTTGCTTTCATTAGGATGGTCTGCACCTTCAGCCATCGGCATAGCTGGGCTTGGTGGAGGTTTTGAAATAGGTATTGAGGTAAGCAGATGACATGTGTACATGCTATTGCCATGGCAACCGAAACCTTGAGCAATGCAGGGGCTGGGGTCCCTGACCTCCACATAGCCAAAAATCCATGTATAACTTCAGCTTTCCCAAAATCTTAACCACTACCCGTTGACTTACCAGTAACATAAACAGTTAACATGTATGTTGTATGTTGTGTGTATTTTATACTGTATTCTTACAATACAGTAAACTAGAGAAAAAGTTTTTTTCGAATTGTCACAAAACTCCAAAAAATTTTCCAATATATTCCTTGAAAAATATCTGTGTGCAGGTGGATTCACACAATTTAGTCCTGAATTGTTCAAGGATCAACCATAAGTGAAAGCTGAGTGATTCCCCAGTGTCCTTATTTTACCACTTATGGAAACTGTTGCCCTTAATTTCCTTGGTGAGTCTCTAACTAAAAGTATCTAATGTTTACCAATTTTCTTTCTTTTTCTTTCCCTGAGAGTAGAATTTCTTTCTTTCACTGTTTCATCTGTTTCCATGTTTAGCCAGCAGTAGAACTAACGTGTCAAATCTGAGGGGCTGCTGTCGGCGGTTTGTGGCCCGCCAAGCCCCTCAGCGGGCTGTCAGGGAGGAGCTCAGAGTGGGATTGACGGCTTAGGGCGCCGTGTATCACTTGCGGCGCTAATACCTTTCAAGTATTTATAACTTAAAACACTATATATGCTTATTAAAGAGCTTTTAAAAGCTCTGGCTTTGTACATGTGATGCAGAACGTACTTCGGTTCTTTAGCAGAGTGGCTGTGCTGTGTCCTTGCGTGACCTCGCTGCTAATCGTTAGGCTTCTGTCGAGGTGGAAGGTCTGCCGGGAAGTATGGTCTGCAGGGGCCTGTGGCGTAGGGGTCGTGCTCACCACGCCCTCCCGCCCCGCCCCCATCTGTGTTACTTTGTTGCAAGGTGATTCATAAATCAGGTCTCCTGATATTCTCAAACCCTTGTCTTCTCCAGTTTCAGCCCATTTCCTCCTGAGCTGCCCTTTCATGCCCGAGTGGTGGATCCCCTCGGCCTTATGAGAAGTGTTTGCACCCCTCTTCTTTCGTCTGTGTTTCGTCCTCTTTCCTGCTACTCCGTACATCCGTGCTGTAAAAAGAGGGGCGTATTTCAGCTTGCTCGTCATGGCTGCCTTTTTGTTGTGATTCGACCAAACCAAAGTCTTCAAAAACATGGGCCCCTTGTGGGAAGCTGGTTCCATGCGTCCCCGGGTCTCCCTTAGAGGAGGCTCCCCGGATGCCCCTGTGAGTGGGACTCATGCTGAGGCGGTCAGTCAGCGTCAGCAGGATGGCGCTGCTCCTCATGACGCGGCCTCGGGTGTACCGGGAGCATGTTTGCCTTCTTCCCACAAAGATGCTGCTCTGGCCCGTGCCGGCAGGGCGGGGAGGCCGGAGGGATTGATTCCCAGGACACCGCCTCCTCTCGTGAACTTGCATCCCGCTAGGCACACCTGCCGTGGAGAGTGCGGCTCTCCTGCCCTGACCATCCGCACACCTCCTGTTAGATGGAGCGCCCCTGTCGGGACTGTGGGTAACAGCAGCTCCAGCTTCCTGGGGTCCCACGGTGGCTCAGGAGAGCAGGCACAGAAGATTCTCTCACTTCAGGTGGGTGGGGTGAGGCAGGGGCGAAGGTTCCCACCAGAACCACAGGAGGGAACCTGGGCTTTTTTACCAGGTGACCCAGACGTGGGGTTCAAAAGCTGTCATCAGCGAGACTTCCAAAGTGGAGTCTACTCCTCATTACAGGACGACACATGTGGGACTTTGTCTGGGTTTAAAGTGGCTAAAAGTGAAAGAGGGAGAGATGGGTGGCATCATATCAGAGGGTGGGGTTCCAGGAGATGCCCTGTAGAGAAGAGAAGCCTACTGGTTCCTGTGAACATTTCTCCCCCAGCTCTCTCTCAGTAATTGTTGTTGTTTTAATTCTTATATTTAAGAATTGAATTTAGTTGCAAAACTTGCATCTAATTCATAATTACATCTCAGTGCAAACATCCTAAGGAGCCTTCATCACATTCTCCGACGCCCGCCTCACCCTGTTCACTGTCCCCACCGCTCTAGCCCTCTGTCTGCACATCTGTTTAGTTTCTCATTCAAAGAATAAGAGGCCACTGGAGCCGTCGGCCCTCCCACTGCACTTAGCTGGTCGGGGGGTGGGGGGTGGGGGGTCTCAGCTTGGTTCTCCATCTAGTTAGTGGTGTCCCCGAGGACACAGGGCTGTCTTAGTCTTATTTCAGGAGAGCTGAGTTGAAACCAGAGAATTAAAGGGCCGTTGTTTCTTTAGCTGCGCTGAGATGTGCCAAGCAGGAGGAGTGACACCTGGAGTGTGCACATGGTCATGGCTGGAGGTCGGTGCTGAGGGTCTGTGTGCCAAGCATGATGCAAAGCAATTTTATATCCATGATCTAAAAATCTATGTAAGATATAGGCTATACAATCATTGGCAAAATGGCTTAACTTTTGCTAAAAAGAGATGCAGGCCCACCATGGGGTCATTTTGGCCAAGTCAGCAAACCGGGGCTGAATTCCCAACCTGGTTGTAGTTTCAACCTCCCCAGAAATGTAGCCATCAGGAATTTTCTAATCGCATATGGCCCCTCCACCCCTTGAGGAAAATGAGGTCATTCACCTACCGAGACTCCGACCCTCGCTGCTCTCACTCACAGCACAGGAATATGTATGGCGTGAGCTCCTAGGACACGACTACATGCATCAGCGCCACACCACTCGACGTATTGAGATGTCACCTTTTTTGCATGCATCCCTGCTGTGGAGAAAGTATTGATGATGTCTCCAAACAAAGGGGCTTTGGAGCAGTTTATCAGAGAACTGAGGGACTACAGCCCTCAGCAGGTCTATGAATAAACATATCTTTCTTAAATATAACAGTGTGTTGATTTACATTTTGTATTAGAAATGCTACTTAAACCTGTATCAACACAGTGATCCTCAGAAGTTGTCCATATGTAACAGATGGTATGAGTCAGGATAAAGTGATTTGCATGGGTCAGTTAACAGGCATAATTAGTTTGTCTTATGGAAGCTGAGTGTATTTTTTTCAGAAAATGATTTAAATTAATCATACATTAAGCATCTACTTATATCAGTAACTCTGTTAGGTCCTTTCAAGTACAATCTCATTTGGTAATAATAGAAATCTTCTATGGGTCTGATGAAAACACTGATTTGAAAACACTTAGAAAAAGTTAAGGAACTGTGTAAATTAAGGCATCTTTTAAACATCAGTGTGCTTGTCCTTTGCATATTTCATTGACATGTGGTAAACATACCAGGCTTTGCAAATGATTTCAGTCCATCCTCAGACATCCTAATATTTCTGTCTATGCACACACATGTACACACACATATATACTCATAAATGTGGTCATCGTTGTTATACCCATTTTACAGAGAAAGAAACTGAGGTTTCAAACTACTCAATAATTTGCTCATGCTCACCCAATATCCACACATCAGAAGTAGATAGAATTCACATCCAGTTAGTTTCAGTCTTAAGCCCAAACTCTCAGCACCTTTCATTTTCCAGGTACACTGACACTATGTTTGATCTTCTCAATAGCGGGATGAGACAGGTCCTATCCAGCAGACTTTAGGCAAAAACCATCAGCAACCCAGAGGCAGGCACAACTGCGCAGCCACCCAGCTAAGAAAAGGGGCTGGCAGGCATCAGCCTCTCCCTGACCTGTGCACCTCCCGTCTGCTGGGCCAGGGAGGCCTGTGCCCTCACCCAGTTCTACCACAGGAGTGGTGAGTGGAAAACTGGTCTTTCTCTGCAGGGATGTGCCTCGAGCACCCTTTCATTCAAAGTTTTGCTTTTACTTAGAGGATCGACTCAGTAGTGGGCATTAACCAATGGTAACAATTTTCTTCTTGATATTCTGACTCCTGTGACCTGAAATTAAGTGCACAGTGTGCAGTTGCCTAATAGGGGGCACATGGCCTTGCTGGGGGACCAGCATGGGACGTGTCATCAGGAACCACAGCCCCTCTGGCCTGGACCTTGTGGCCCCAATCCTCGGCTTCCTGGAAGGGCTTAGTTTGAGGGAGTGTTTGGTCCTTCCACCCACCTGTGTTTCATGCATTCCCGGTGCTACCATGGCAGCTGCCTTCTCACCAGCCCTCTGTCTCCACCGGCACCGGACCGCAGGGGCCGCACAGTGCCTGGATGACTGGAAATAGCGGCTTTTTATCCTCAGCTCAGTAAAGGAAACACGACCCTTCCTTCCTTCTTTCTCTGTCTACACTGAAGTTCTCTTACATTATATAGAGCATGTTTGAGTTTTAATCAACGTGTGTGTTGAGTGATACTTAGAATCATTTTTAAATAAATGGGTTTCTACATTTTAGGTATCGGATTTGGTAATAATTTTGAATTATGACAGAGCAGTAGAAGCTTTTGCCAAAGGTGGTAACCTGACACTTGGAGGGAATTTTACTGTGGCAGTTGGACCCTTGGGAAGGTGAGTACCGTAAAAAACTCAACAGCTGCCGGGTAGAAAGTAGATATTGCCTTGCATTAAGAGGAAACTCAAATTAAAATTAAACAAATTTATGATTTATATATCTCCCAGAGAGTTTGAGGTTGCTTACAAATAAGAAATTCATAAAACATAGCCAGTGTGATAAAATGAGAAAATTTGGAACTAACACACACAAAGAGTAAATATTTCAGAAATGCAGGACACCGTACCCACTGGAGTTGAACATGACATTTACCTCTAAGCTGTGAAGGGGCAGTCAAGTTACGTCCAGTTAACCGATAAAGGAAGCATTAATCAGGAAAGCAGCTTTTTCCAAACGAAATTGTGAATAGTTGAAGTGTTCACAGGAATGACATTTGCAAACCTTACAGCCTATTTTCCTTCCAAGAATGACGAGCTGTTCTTGGGTTAATTGAACAATTTAGAAATATTTCAAACCCAGACTGCTTGTAGAAGTTATACCATAAAACTATCTGAAAAGGTTTCTGAATTCCTTGAAAATACTCAGTGTGAAAAGAATCCAGTCCTATTTAGAACTACTGAGGTGTGTTCCCGTTTTAAGAAAGAAAGACGAACTTGGACGTGTCTGTGGCGTGGCTTCCCTGCATTGCGACCCTCGGTACTATGCCGCACGTCCTCCCCATGAGCCGCCCAAGACCCCAGGAGGGGAGCGGACTCTGGCTGGAGGCCCAGGCCGTGCAGGGTCTGAGGTGCGCGGCCTCGGGCGGCTCTCACGCCACCTCCCCTTCTGTAGGAATCTAGAAGGAAACGTCGCGCTGAGAAGCTCTGCTGCCGCCTTTACGTACTGCAAGTCAAGAGGCCTCTTCGCTGGCATCTCTTTAGAGGGCAGCTGTTTGATTGAAAGGAAAGAAGCTAATCGGAAGTAAGTGCCAGTTTAATTGTCTTGAAGAAACTGATGAGAAAACAGTGTTTCATGGATTCACATAGTTCTTAAGGGTTCACAGAGTGCCTTTATGTTTGTTCCCTTTTAACGCCACAACATGACTGTAAGTGTACATTTACCTAAAAATGCAGTATAAAGTATGTACACATGTACACAGAGAAAATTTAGACAACAAAAATAATTAAAAGGAAGAAAAAGGCATTCTACTCCTTTAGGATGAACACCACTCCCATTTTGCTTTACTGCCTGACAGCATTTCCTAAGCATAATTTTCCTGTTTTGCTGTATACGATTGTAGTCACATAGGTTCCGCTGTAAATCCTATTTGTCCACCTAGCATTATAAGAGTCATAGACATAAGTTAATGGCTACATATACCCTATTACTGGATATGTCCACCAAGCATGTATTCCAAACATTTGGGAGACACACCAGTTACAACTCGGGGTCAATCAAAATGTTCCTTATTTTGAGAGGCTGCCTATTATTTTGCTCTGTCTTCCATAAAGTAGAGACCAATTTTGATTGTAGAAAAGGATGTGCAAGTTTCCCACCAAGCAAAGAGGAGCTTCCATGTGTAACAGGCATCTCCTAATTTCCCTCAAAACCGCTCTCAAAAATTTTCACTAAAATGTGGCTAATGGCCCAGAAACAGTTTTGAAAAGCTAAGAGTGAAGATGGACCACTCCTGCCGTTGGCCCCAGGCAGACCCGCACTCAGGGAAACGGGTGCAGGAGCTCCCGTACCAGCTCACTCACGCTCAGGAGCACGTCTGACAATATAAAACGTGAACAACTGGACCGCAGGAGGAATGGGGAGAATAAAGGGTTGTGGAGCGCATCGTCTCCCAAAGTTGAGAGATGTTCTTATTCCTGCTTTTGTTAATTTGAGAAATTTAAGAATACTTTTAGAAATGTCAGATTCTAGGCCTTTGGAAGATTTTCCCACTAAAGTTCACCCAAATCCTGGATAAACAAAAACAAATATACTTCTTAACTGCAGGGCTTCCAAACATGTCAGAAAAATTGTTATGTAATTTTGATACAAATAAACATTTTAAAGGTACTACAAAGCCATATATATTGGCACCATCTTTATAAGAAGCTTAAAAAGCAAAAACATAAAAATGTATGTGATGGTATTTGCATAAGTGTTGATATATGTGTATGTGTGTGTTTGTGTACATGCTGCGCTTTTTACACTCTTGCAGGAAGGGTGTGCACACCAGACTGTGGTGGCTGCCTCTAGAAGTGAGCTTGGTGGGGCTGAATGTACTTGGGGGGTTATACATGGGTTATGACTCAGTTAGGATTTGAATAGTTTATATGAAGTGCTACATATGAGTAAACACACAGGTGTTCCATGCGTCCCCGGGTCTCCCTTAGAGGAGGCTCCCCGGATGCCCCTGTGAGTGGGACTCATGCTGAGGCGGTCAGTCAGCGTCAGCAGGATGGCGCTGCTCCTCATGACGCGGCCTCGGGTGTACCGGGAGCATGTTTGCCTTCTTCCCACAAAGATGCTGCTCTGGCCCGTGCCGGCAGGGCGGGGAGGCCGGAGGGATTGATTCCCAGGACACCGCCTCCTCTCGTGAACTTGCATCCCGCTAGGCACACCTGCCGTGGAGAGTGCGGCTCTCCTGCCCTGACCATCCGCACACCTCCTGTTAGATGGAGCGCCCCTGTCGGGACTGTGGGTAACAGCAGCTCCAGCTTCCTGGGGTCCCACGGTGGCTCAGGAGAGCAGGCACAGAAGATTCTCTCACTTCAGGTGGGTGGGGTGAGGCAGGGGCGAAGGTTCCCACCAGAACCACAGGAGGGAACCTGGGCTTTTTTACCAGGTGACCCAGACGTGGGGTTCAAAAGCTGTCATCAGCGAGACTTCCAAAGTGGAGTCTACTCCTCATTACAGGACGACACATGTGGGACTTTGTCTGGGTTTAAAGTGGCTAAAAGTGAAAGAGGGAGAGATGGGTGGCATCATATCAGAGGGTGGGGTTCCAGGAGATGCCCTGTAGAGAAGAGAAGCCTACTGGTTCCTGTGAACATTTCTCCCCCAGCTCTCTCTCAGTAATTGTTGTTGTTTTAATTCTTATATTTAAGAATTGAATTTAGTTGCAAAACTTGCATCTAATTCATAATTACATCTCAGTGCAAACATCCTAAGGAGCCTTCATCACATTCTCCGACGCCCGCCTCACCCTGTTCACTGTCCCCACCGCTCTAGCCCTCTGTCTGCACATCTGTTTAGTTTCTCATTCAAAGAATAAGAGGCCACTGGAGCCGTCGGCCCTCCCACTGCACTTAGCTGGTCGGGGGGTGGGGGGTGGGGGGTCTCAGCTTGGTTCTCCATCTAGTTAGTGGTGTCCCCGAGGACACAGGGCTGTCTTAGTCTTATTTCAGGAGAGCTGAGTTGAAACCAGAGAATTAAAGGGCCGTTGTTTCTTTAGCTGCGCTGAGATGTGCCAAGCAGGAGGAGTGACACCTGGAGTGTGCACATGGTCATGGCTGGAGGTCGGTGCTGAGGGTCTGTGTGCCAAGCATGATGCAAAGCAATTTTATATCCATGATCTAAAAATCTATGTAAGATATAGGCTATACAATCATTGGCAAAATGGCTTAACTTTTGCTAAAAAGAGATGCAGGCCCACCATGGGGTCATTTTGGCCAAGTCAGCAAACCGGGGCTGAATTCCCAACCTGGTTGTAGTTTCAACCTCCCCAGAAATGTAGCCATCAGGAATTTTCTAATCGCATATGGCCCCTCCACCCCTTGAGGAAAATGAGGTCATTCACCTACCGAGACTCCGACCCTCGCTGCTCTCACTCACAGCACAGGAATATGTATGGCGTGAGCTCCTAGGACACGACTACATGCATCAGCGCCACACCACTCGACGTATTGAGATGTCACCTTTTTTGCATGCATCCCTGCTGTGGAGAAAGTATTGATGATGTCTCCAAACAAAGGGGCTTTGGAGCAGTTTATCAGAGAACTGAGGGACTACAGCCCTCAGCAGGTCTATGAATAAACATATCTTTCTTAAATATAACAGTGTGTTGATTTACATTTTGTATTAGAAATGCTACTTAAACCTGTATCAACACAGTGATCCTCAGAAGTTGTCCATATGTAACAGATGGTATGAGTCAGGATAAAGTGATTTGCATGGGTCAGTTAACAGGCATAATTAGTTTGTCTTATGGAAGCTGAGTGTATTTTTTTCAGAAAATGATTTAAATTAATCATACATTAAGCATCTACTTATATCAGTAACTCTGTTAGGTCCTTTCAAGTACAATCTCATTTGGTAATAATAGAAATCTTCTATGGGTCTGATGAAAACACTGATTTGAAAACACTTAGAAAAAGTTAAGGAACTGTGTAAATTAAGGCATCTTTTAAACATCAGTGTGCTTGTCCTTTGCATATTTCATTGACATGTGGTAAACATACCAGGCTTTGCAAATGATTTCAGTCCATCCTCAGACATCCTAATATTTCTGTCTATGCACACACATGTACACACACATATATACTCATAAATGTGGTCATCGTTGTTATACCCATTTTACAGAGAAAGAAACTGAGGTTTCAAACTACTCAATAATTTGCTCATGCTCACCCAATATCCACACATCAGAAGTAGAATTCACATCCAGTTAGTTTCAGTCTTAAGCCCAAACTCTCAGCACCTTTCATTTTCCAGGTACACTGACACTATGTTTGATCTTCTCAATAGCGGGATGAGACAGGTCCTATCCAGCAGACTTTAGGCAAAAACCATCAGCAACCCAGAGGCAGGCACAACTGCGCAGCCACCCAGCTAAGAAAAGGGGCTGGCAGGCATCAGCCTCTCCCTGACCTGTGCACCTCCCGTCTGCTGGGCCAGGGAGGCCTGTGCCCTCACCCAGTTCTACCACAGGAGTGGTGAGTGGAAAACTGGTCTTTCTCTGCAGGGATGTGCCTCGAGCACCCTTTCATTCAAAGTTTTGCTTTTACTTAGAGGATCGACTCAGTAGTGGGCATTAACCAATGGTAACAATTTTCTTCTTGATATTCTGACTCCTGTGACCTGAAATTAAGTGCACAGTGTGCAGTTGCCTAATAGGGGGCACATGGCCTTGCTGGGGGACCAGCATGGGACGTGTCATCAGGAACCACAGCCCCTCTGGCCTGGACCTTGTGGCCCCAATCCTCGGCTTCCTGGAAGGGCTTAGTTTGAGGGAGTGTTTGGTCCTTCCACCCACCTGTGTTTCATGCATTCCCGGTGCTACCATGGCAGCTGCCTTCTCACCAGCCCTCTGTCTCCACCGGCACCGGACCGCAGGGGCCGCACAGTGCCTGGATGACTGGAAATAGCGGCTTTTTATCCTCAGCTCAGTAAAGGAAACACGACCCTTCCTTCCTTCTTTCTCTGTCTACACTGAAGTTCTCTTACATTATATAGAGCATGTTTGAGTTTTAATCAACGTGTGTGTTGAGTGATACTTAGAATCATTTTTAAATAAATGGGTTTCTACATTTTAGGTATCGGATTTGGTAATAATTTTGAATTATGACAGAGCAGTAGAAGCTTTTGCCAAAGGTGGTAACCTGACACTTGGAGGGAATTTTACTGTGGCAGTTGGACCCTTGGGAAGGTGAGTACCGTAAAAAACTCAACAGCTGCCGGGTAGAAAGTAGATATTGCCTTGCATTAAGAGGAAACTCAAATTAAAATTAAACAAATTTATGATTTATATATCTCCCAGAGAGTTTGAGGTTGCTTACAAATAAGAAATTCATAAAACATAGCCAGTGTGATAAAATGAGAAAATTTGGAACTAACACACACAAAGAGTAAATATTTCAGAAATGCAGGACACCGTACCCACTGGAGTTGAACATGACATTTACCTCTAAGCTGTGAAGGGGCAGTCAAGTTACGTCCAGTTAACCGATAAAGGAAGCATTAATCAGGAAAGCAGCTTTTTCCAAACGAAATTGTGAATAGTTGAAGTGTTCACAGGAATGACATTTGCAAACCTTACAGCCTATTTTCCTTCCAAGAATGACGAGCTGTTCTTGGGTTAATTGAACAATTTAGAAATATTTCAAACCCAGACTGCTTGTAGAAGTTATACCATAAAACTATCTGAAAAGGTTTCTGAATTCCTTGAAAATACTCAGTGTGAAAAGAATCCAGTCCTATTTAGAACTACTGAGGTGTGTTCCCGTTTTAAGAAAGAAAGACGAACTTGGACGTGTCTGCGGCGTGGCTTCCCTGCATTGCGACCCTCGGTACTATGCCGCACGTCCTCCCCATGAGCCGCCCAAGACCCCAGGAGGGGAGCGGACTCTGGCTGGAGGCCCAGGCCGTGCAGGGTCTGAGGTGCGCGGCCTCGGGCGGCTCTCACGCCACCTCCCCTTCTGTAGGAATCTAGAAGGAAACGTCGCGCTGAGAAGCTCTGCTGCCGCCTTTACGTACTGCAAGTCAAGAGGCCTCTTCGCTGGCATCTCTTTAGAGGGCAGCTGTTTGATTGAAAGGAAAGAAGCTAATCGGAAGTAAGTGCCAGTTTAATTGTCTTGAAGAAACTGATGAGAAAACAGTGTTTCATGGATTCACATAGTTCTTAAGGGTTCACAGAGTGCCTTTATGTTTGTTCCCTTTTAACGCCACAACATGACTGTAAGTGTACATTTACCTAAAAATGCAGTATAAAGTATGTACACATGTACACAGAGAAAATTTAGACAACAAAAATAATTAAAAGGAAGAAAAAGGCATTCTACTCCTTTAGGATGAACACCACTCCCATTTTGCTTTACTGCCTGACAGCATTTCCTAAGCATAATTTTCCTGTTTTGCTGTATACGATTGTAGTCACATAGGTTCCGCTGTAAATCCTATTTGTCCACCTAGCATTATAAGAGTCATAGACATAAGTTAATGGCTACATATACCCTATTACTGGATATGTCCACCAAGCATGTATTCCAAACATTTGGGAGACACACCAGTTACAACTCGGGGTCAATCAAAATGTTCCTTATTTTGAGAGGCTGCCTATTATTTTGCTCTGTCTTCCATAAAGTAGAGACCAATTTTGATTGTAGAAAAGGATGTGCAAGTTTCCCACCAAGCAAAGAGGAGCTTCCATGTGTAACAGGCATCTCCTAATTTCCCTCAAAACCGCTCTCAAAAATTTTCACTAAAATGTGGCTAATGGCCCAGAAACAGTTTTGAAAAGCTAAGAGTGAAGATGGACCACTCCTGCCGTTGGCCCCAGGCAGACCCGCACTCAGGGAAACGGGTGCAGGAGCTCCCGTACCAGCTCACTCACGCTCAGGAGCACGTCTGACAATATAAAACGTGAACAACTGGACCGCAGGAGGAATGGGGAGAATAAAGGGTTGTGGAGCGCATCGTCTCCCAAAGTTGAGAGATGTTCTTATTCCTGCTTTTGTTAATTTGAGAAATTTAAGAATACTTTTAGAAATGTCAGATTCTAGGCCTTTGGAAGATTTTCCCACTAAAGTTCACCCAAATCCTGGATAAACAAAAACAAATATACTTCTTAACTGCAGGGCTTCCAAACATGTCAGAAAAATTGTTATGTAATTTTGATACAAATAAACATTTTAAAGGTACTACAAAGCCATATATATTGGCACCATCTTTATAAGAAGCTTAAAAAGCAAAAACATAAAAATGTATGTGATGGTATTTGCATAAGTGTTGATATATGTGTATGTGTGTGTTTGTGTACATGCTGCGCTTTTTACACTCTTGCAGGAAGGGTGTGCACACCAGACTGTGGTGGCTGCCTCTAGAAGTGAGCTTGGTGGGGCTGAATGTACTTGGGGGGTTATACATGGGTTATGACTCAGTTAGGATTTGAATAGTTTATATGAAGTGCTACATATGAGTAAACACACAGGTGTGTGTCCTACGTCTAACTCTAAAAAAGGCATTTCTCAAAGAAATGTTCTTAACTGGATATTTCTTATTAGATTTTACTGCCAAGATATTCGAGCTTATGACATTTTATTTGGAGACATACCACGGCCTGCTCAAGCAGAAGATCTTTATGAAATTCTTGATTCCTTTACTGAAAAGTATGAAAGTGAAGCACAGCGAATCAATGCAAGAAAAGCAGCTCGGGAACAGAAGAAGGCTTCTGTAATGTTTGGTTTTTTACTTTTCTTAGTGGTCGCAGGTCTCTTTATCTAGAATATTGGCTTTGATACCAGGTTCCTAATAACCCACTGAACTTCCCTTGTCATCTCATTTACATAATGTTCTTGTGAAATGTCATCATATAGATTTCAAGGAGCAACAGCTTGTTTTCCATGATTGCATTTCCCCAAGGATAGAACTTTGTAGTATTCAGGATAACACCAACTCCCCAGGCACCTGGTTCAGCCAGATGCTCACACCTGTCGGAACTGCTGGAAGCCGGGGCAGAGTCCAGGTGCCCTGCCCCAGGCTCCAGGGGGTGCTGAGCCTTCACCTCATTCCTGGACCTCCCACTTGGGAGGTACCTGCATGAGGCCAGTGTCCCTACAGCAGGGCGCCCTGTCAGCGTCTGCCTGGTGTCCTCCAGGTCAGCTAATATGGCCCAAAGCGGTACCCGTGAGTATTCAGGGGGCTGCATGAATAAGCTCCTAGGATAAAATTTGCCCCAAGTGCCTTATTAAAAGAAAAAAAGGCCTTATATGCTCCTCAGTAAAAATAGGGTTTTACAATTATGTACTTTTTTTTGATCCTCCCAGGCTAAAGATTCACCTCCAAACCCACTGAGACCACAGCAGCCATCTGCACAAGTCCAGCGGAGCTCTGCCTTTCAGAGTAAGTACTTTTGTTGCAATTCATATACAATTATAACTAGGCAATTATTAAATATTACCAAGAAATCAATCTACGTTGTTAAACTTCAGAGTGAAATAGAAGGACTAATAATAGGTTTAAAGAGAGAAAAATAAATGCTCGGTCTTCTAAACACATAGACAAATTCTCATTGCTATAGTTTGTGAATTTATATTCTCATTCAGAAGGTGCTGTCTCCAGTTTACAAAAATACTTATATTTAAAGTTTTTCTTTTATTTTCTTTGTCATTTCTCCCAAAGACTGTTATCCTGCTGACTTGAAATGGGAACTGAATAAGCCCATTTCTCTTTCTTACACATTTTATTTATTTCCTAATATTAATTTTCCCACATATTCATGGGCGCTCAGGGTTCCATGACATGGTTTCAAAGTAGACCGAATTCATGAAGTGCTAGGTTTGGACCTTTACCCACCTCCACCCATTTTTGGGATGGTCGCTCTGGGATCCTGTTTGTCATGTACAGAGGTTACTAGAAAGCAGCAGTTTATCAAAATAGGTGACGTTTTGTACAACGGTCACTATTCCGCAGCAGGCCCTGTGCCGTGGCTCTGCGAGCACACTGCCTGTCCCCTCCCCACCTGTCCCCGCCCATCCCCAAGTCCCCCATGTCCCCATCTGTCCCCACCCATCCCCCAGGTCCCCATGTCCCCTCCAACCCTACCCATTCCCCAGGCCCCCATGTCCCCTATGTCCCTGCCCATCCCCAAGGCCCCCCATGTCCCCTCCCATCCCCACACANCCAGGCCCCCCATGTCCCCTCCCATCCCCGCCCATCCCCCAGGCCCCCCATGTCCCCTCCCATCTGTCTTGCCAATGGGTTGCAGACCCAGGCAAGTTTGCTATGGATTCAATGTGACCAAAGAAATCGACAGCAAAACGTTTTCTGGGGTGAAAGGGTTTATTACCTGGCTTGTTGTCCCGGCTGAGGGTCCAGCACTAGCATCTCTCTCTGCCTCCGCCCAGGGCGCTGGGCCGAGCTCTCCAAACAGCCGATAAGAGCTAATTGCCTAAAGGTGTGGGAGCGGCAGCCCAGCAACAGGCCAGTTACATCATCAGGTGCTTTAGGTTCAGTGAGGATCCTGGCCATAGGAGCCCCAACTTCTGCACACCATCCCCGCCCGTCCCCCAGGCCCCCCATGTCCCCGCCCATCCCCCGGGCCCCATGGCCCCTCCCGCCCCCCAGGTCCCCTCCATCCCTGCGTGTCCCCCAGGTCCCCCATGTCCCCGTCCGTCCCTGCCCGCGCCCCAGGTCCCCACCTCTTCCCACGCTCGTGCGCGCTGTCGGCAAACGTTCCCCGCGTCGCTCTCACGCCCACTTGTTCCCCTTACCACGTCTCGTCCCAAGTTTGAAACCCAGTTCACACTATGTGCCCGTGAAAAACTGGCATCTTTTTCACCTTTTATTTTATATCTAACCTATTCCTAAGTTCTTATTAAAAACTAAGCCTTAATTTTTAGTTTCTTTGCATATGTGCACACATGGTTTTATATACACGCACATGTGGCCCGGGGAGGTGGGCTCGCGTGCACTGCTTCCTTGTGCTGAGGGCCGCCCTCCGCAGCCCCCTTGTCCCCGCCGCTCCTGGAAACCCCTGAGAAAAGTGTCCGGTCCACGAAGTGCGCACGCAGGTATTTGGACACACATATACACGTGGGCAGAATATTTTGTTTTTTCACAAAAGTGCTGTCATACTATACATGCTTTGTGTGTGGGTTTTGTTTGTTTTGCTCAGTAACACTCCTTGGAAATCCCTGAGTCAACTGGTATAGCTCTATTTAATTTTTTTAATGGCTATTTAATATTTCGTGGTGCAGGTGAACATATTTTATTCAGCCACTCTCCTGTTAATAGATATTAACTTTACTTCAATTATTTTTCCATGCCTAACAGTGCCACAGTTAATGTCTTTCTAAATTAATGTACTTGCAAATGGTACTATTTCTATTTTTTATAGATAATTACCAGGAATGAACATGATAGGTCAAAGGATATATTTTTAAAGTTTTAACTGATTTGGTTGATTGCTCTCTAAAGGCTTTTACTACTGCAGAGGCTCATCAGCCACTCCCCACCCGTACATTCCCCGCCATAGACTCTCCCCACCCTTACATTCCCCTCCACTACTAGTGTTGGAGTGTTTTGAAGTGTTTGCAAGTCTGAGAGTTGGTTATTTTTTCTTGTTAATTGGATTGTGTTTGCCCCTGCCTATTATTACTGATTAAACAGTTTTTCATACCTTACTGGTGTTCTGGATTTGATCTTTTCGGAAAAGCATCTTCATTTCTATTGTCCATTTTTTTCCTATTGGGATAGTTGCTGCCTTTTCAATATGGAGAAATGCTCTGTATAGTAAGGGCTTTGTCTGTTTTTTGGTTTGTAGTTTTTTTCTACACGTATCATTAGTCTGTTGATCTTGTCTTTCACGCACAGCCATCCCCTCTCATCTTGCAGGGGACATGGCCCAGGACCCCTTGGATGCCTAAAACCATGGGTCCTACCAAATTCTCGACATACTGTTTTCTCCTATAACATCTACCTATGATAAAGTTCAATTTATAATACAGGCACAGTAAGAGCAACAGTAATAATAAAATAGAATTATTGTAACAATATACTGTAACCAAAGTTCCAGGGGTGTGGCTCTCTCTCTCTCAACATATCTTTATTTACTGTGCTCGCCCTTCTTGTGATGGTGTGTAATTGTAACATGCCTCCGAGATGAGGTGCAGTGAGGCGGACGACGTGGGCACGTAACTCGGTTCAGGTGCCACTAACCTTCTGACGACAGGTCAGAGGTAGGATCATGTGCTTTTGGACTGAGGTCACCACAGGGACGGAAACTGTGCAAACTCTCAAATAAGGAAGGGCTACTGTACTTTACCATACGAAAGTTGTACTTTTTAATGTAAAAATATGTCCATCATCTATTTCTAATAGGTTTTGCATTTTGTAGTCGTGGTTAAGGTCTTCCACTTCCTCTGTGAGGTTGTGTTCGTTGTCTTCTGGGTTTTCTTGCAGTTGCTGAGCACTTATTCTTCATATACTTTAAGACTGTTTTACTAATACTGCCTTCTTCCCCCAGTGAGAAATTCTAATTAAAATAATGTTAGGGGTTTATATTAATTCTATTATTTTTGGATATTAATTAAATAACATTACATGTGTAGATTAATTTGGCTTGTACTTTATGCTTTCCATTTGTGAAGGTATTATTTTATGTCTTTCCTAAGATTTCATGTTTCTGTGTTTTTCTTATTAAATTTGTTCTTCAATACTTTGTAATTTTGGTTTAGTGTGGTGAATGGAATGTACTTCCCCATTTCTATTTCAGAATGCTTATTTTTATAGTTTAGAAAGTCTTAGCTTGTATATATTTGTCCTATATCTGGTCATCTACCCCAAATCTCTTATTTCTAGTCAGTTTTTAAAAAAATAGATTCTCTTGTGGTATCTGCACCCTCTCCCCGACCCTGCCATATTTATTTCTATTCCTCATGTTTGTAAACGTCTTAGGCCAACGGCCTTCACGTGGGGCACAGCTGTCCTGGTGGTGCACAGAGATGAACAGAGGGAGGTGGGGTGGACACGATCCAAGAGATCTTTCCAGGTCTCTGGACCCCTCCTCTGGGGTGTGACGTGCAGACAACCCTCCCTGCATCCTATCCTTCCACAATGGCTCTTTTTCACACTTGAATGAGAAAAGCAAACCCTCAAACCAGTCCTGAATCGTACTGTGCTACACTGTCTCCAAAATGTAAGAACGAAGATTCAGTCTGACATTTGGATGCTGACACTGGAGTCACAGTAAAGGGTTCTGATGAGCAGCAGATGCCTCTATAGGTCAGGTGGTATTTGTTTCTTTGCTTTCAGCAAAACCAAAGAGGAACCTAATGGAAATGCCTAAGTTTATAATAAGAATAGTACATAATATCATTATATAATAATTATTTTAATAAATCACATAGCTATCACCAAAACAAAAATGTGTAGTAGTGTTATTTTATAAATAATATTATTGTTTTATGATACATTATTGTGATTTTTTTATCTCGATCTCAAAAGGAATATAAAAGACTTCTGCAACAATGCTATAAAACAGCTTGTTCTAGGTCACTCTAGTTTTTATAACGAGCTGTCTTAGCACCTATTTCTTTTAAAAAACACTGAAGTACATTTCGATGTTGAACCTCTGTCTTTCTAGAAATAGTCGTCCTGTGTACCTGAACTAATTTTAAAAAGTCTTGTCAGTATACTGAAATGTATTTCAAATAACATTTTACTTTCATGTCTAGTAATTTAACAAATTCATACTGTACCTAAGATTTTTACCAGTTGTATACTAACAACCATTTCAGTAATCAGTCTACAAGAAACCATTAATAGACTTGTGTTTTCTTAAAATTTCAAAATTAAATTTATGTACAAATTGTTGTATAGAAAGCATTACATAAATGTATAATATTTATATATTAGTATAAAATCTTTGGGATACATGGAATGGAAATACAGTTTGAAGGCTAAGAATGAGCATTACATAATTTCTCTTAGGAAACAGCCTGTCGATTTTCTTTAATGAATGATGGTGAGTTCCAGATCACTGTATTTAGATTCTTTCATCCACAAAAGGACAAAGATGATAATGTAATTTGAATAGTTGATATTGAAATATGCTAAAAAATATACACTTTACAACTTTTAAAGTTATGTTGAACAAGTTTAGGTGTCAAAACATACACAAGTGAATGCCTGCTGTTTAAAGATTATTTTAAGGGTTAAGGCAGCACAAATGTCTGCAAAGCACCGGCTGGGGGGTCATAAGCTTTATGTGCACAGGTATTTTATGGTTGCTTCTGGAAAAGATGTGTTTTCCATGAATGTGTACCACAAGGCGATGAGCAGTAGTTTGTATGGTTAATGGTACAGATGTCAGACACTCAAACACCTGTGTCCTGTTTGGTGTTATTTTCTGTTTTTGGGGGGCATTCCTCTTAATTTAAAGCCTGACAAAATATTGACATGTATATCAATTGTAGTGATGCAAAATATTTGCTTAACAAGGGCAAGATTTGGCATTCCTGGGTAATTTATGTACTGTATGCTATTATGTTTTCTAAACCTTCCCCTCTTTTTTTTTTTTTTTTTTTCAGGTAACAGAAATAAATTTAAGCTCTATCCTGAACTTTTCAGCTATCATGAGAGCGTTGGTAAATATAAATATCTATGTGTTAAAGATGACTCACATCCATCTTATAATTGCAAGCCTCTGATTAACCCGGCAGGTCGTGACAATCTCTGGGAGTATTCAGCACCCTTTGTTTGAGTTACAGGATAACCACATTATCCTGAGACATCGTTTTAAAAACACCCAGCTGCTGTTCTTTGCTTGCTTTGCCCCTGAGGTCCTGAGAGAGGTGGGAGCCCAGGGACCAGTGCTGCGCCCCAGGCCCCCCAGAGACAGACCACAGGACCTTTTAAAGGCTGTGTCCAGGAATAGAATGGCAGGGTTTGTTGATTGTGAATCACAACTTAATCCTCATTGCTTTTTCTTTGGGTTTTAGCCCCATGAATATTTTTATATTTTTTATTTTTCACATTCAAATTCTTTGCTGTCATTGTGAACTACTTTGTGAAACTTACTAGGATTTCCCATAATAAAAGTAGCCCTTCAACCTGTCTTACTTAAGTGTTCTTTAGAAAATGTTCTTAGAAAGAATCAAGCAATTATTTAATGTGTGAGTGGCCACAAACCAAGGGCAAAGGTCAAACAGCTGTCAACTGCCTACTTTGCACATCTTTTGTCACTGGAGTCACAGAAGCATTTGTATTGGGTTAATAAACTCTTGAGGAATTGCCCGTTTCATGTAAATAGAATGTCAAGGTAACTAGGCACCCGTTTTTTTTAATTTATGGAAGTATTTCAAAAACGCGTCTTAAGCAGGGTGCCCTGAACAGAAGCCAGCGTTCTACTGACGGAGTGAGTGGAGCCCCTGGCTTCCCCTGTTCGGAGCCCTTTCTGGCCGGCGTTTTCTGGCGGCAGCCGCAGGCCGGGCGGGGCCCCTGTGCCGAGCTAGGGGATGGCCTGCGGCTCGCATGGGGCAGTGCCCTGCAGGCCCGGGGAGCTCGGAGGGCCTGGCCGCGGGCTGTGCGGTCATGGTCAGGATCAACGAGGTTGTCAGAAGTGTGACCTTCGGGGCCAAAAGTGATGTTTATATCCCCATTTCTATATGATGGTTTTGCGCCCTGAAGTCTGCGGAGCTCTGCGGGGACGGGAGTCCCCTTCCCGGAGCAAATTCCCCCACGAATCCGGTGAAACCGAAGCCAGGCAAGGGGAAGGGCGGGCTGGGGAGAAGCCGGGTCCCCCGCGCGCCCCCCGGCCCTTCCTCCCGGCCCGGCTTGGGGCCGCCCTTGCAGAGAGAAGCCCCGACGCGCAGGGAGCCTGAAGCGCCGCCGCGGGACGCCCACGGGGAGGCCGGCCTCCCACCCGCGTGCCAGGCACGCTGTCCAGCCTGACGGTCAGAGGCACAGACGGGTGAACAGCCACGAGGCCTCGGGGAAAACGTGCTGATGAAACAGCAAAATGCCCTGGGATCCTCAAAACCAGGGCCCACAGACACGGTCTTCAAACGGGACCTTTCATGATACAGCCGTGAGCGCGTCAGCTTCTAAGAGCTGTAACTTACGGAAGCCATCATGACTATTAAAGATGTAGATAACACGATCTTGTAGGTCATTCAAAATTCAAAGTTAAAACTACAAGTAGCTGCTAAATACACAGCTAACTATACAGTACACAGTTTGACTTGTGTGCATTTAGGAAATGTCATTACCGAACATTTGCTCTTTTCATAGAAAAAAAGCACAAATTTAATAATGTGAGGAAAGTCACAGACCATCTGTGGTGTGTTCGTCAGCTGCCAAGACAAGAAAGTGCCACATCCCGAGTCTTTATATCGCACCTACACATACTCCCAGGTTTTCCCATTCAAGAAAGTAATTTAAATACTTTTTCTTGTTGTAGGCAGTTTGAATCTACCCATAGAAGTGACAGCACTGTACTCTTTCGAAGGACAACAGCCGGGAGATCTGAATTTTCAAGCTGGAGACAGAATCTTAGTTATATCAAAAACAGATTCAGATTTTGATTGGTGGGAAGGAAAGCTTCGAGGTCAAACTGGCATTTTTCCAGCCAACTATGTTACCATGAATTAAAGTTAATATTATGTTCTTTGAGAATTACAGAAAAAATTATTTCTACACTGACAGGATTTCCTATCCAGTTAAGCAGTGTTTAAGTTTTAAAATACTTGTTTATTCCATAAACTCTTGTCCAGAATGCAAGATTTTGTTTTTCTCTCTTCATATTAAATGGGTACCTTATATATGTTTAAATGCTTTTACTAATTTTATCACATACACTTTTTAATAGTTAATATCTCCCCATTTATGTGGTCTTTCTATTATCACTCAATATTTGATTTGGGTGTATAAATGGCAACTGTGTATTTTAACTGGAGAATCTTAAGGGTTACAGCATGAATCCAATTCATACACTATTTGCAAAGTGACTAGAGAAGGAGGATAATAATCCTTAAAAGTTACCTTCATACCTTCAAAAATTGCATGTATACACTTATTGTAGAAACATGCTATTAGAAAAAAGTTCAACTACAATGCATTTTAAAAAGATGACCTCTGTTAACTTTTCTTCTTTATAAGGTTATGTTTGCTCATTTCTAGCAATGGAATCAACTTTTGTTGACATGGTTCAGTTGTCCCTAAATAAATGTTCTTAAATGCTAAGTTAATGTTTTGATTTTGTTTTTCTCAGTTTCTTTTTGTAACGTAAGCAGAGGTCTTCTGACTGGTCTGCAGGTTAAAACCCACCTTTCTGCCTGGGATTCTTAGCTTTAATTTCTTTTTCAGTTTTATTGACAAATAAAATGGTAAAATATTTAAAGGCTGCAGTGTGATAGTTTGATGTGCATGGTGACGGGATGCCCACAGAGTGAACATCATCTCACATAGTTACCATTCTTTTTCCTTTGGTGATGTTAGAAAAAGCATAAAGCCTGTATGTGATTTATTCCCACCAGGAAGTTTAAACATTTTAGCAGTGTGGTATTGACAAAACACTTTGTGGTAAAATACATGCCAGGAAGTTGCTCGGGCTGCAAGTGGAGGGAGGAGGGGCAGGGAATTGATAAGGAATGGGCTGTACCTCTCTGGGAAACGGAAGAAGTTTTAAACCAGCCAATAAAATTAAGACAAATGTAAGGACATAAGGGAAAGCCTAATATGGATATAATTTGCTTAGGTGATGTCAGGGAAAGAATGTGAGCCCTGTAGTGCTCAGCCAATGAGGAACCAAAGGAGGGACTCATGTGCCAGGGAATAAGTAACTTGTGCCAACTATGCCAGGTCTACCTGCTCACCACACACCTTATCTTGCAAGACCACTATTAAAGCCTTGCTCTACCGTTCTCTGTCTCGGTGTCCACTTACTGAGTTTGGACCAGTGAGTGTGTTTCTCACAGGTGAGAATGCTTAAATTCTACTCTCAGAATATTTCAATTACACAGTATGGTACTACCCATAGTCATCATGCTCTGTAGCAGGGTCCCCAAAGCTTTCTCCTCTTATAAATGGAAATTTGTGTCCTTTGACCGATTTAAACATTCCTCATATAAGTGAGACTGTACAGAATTTGTCTTTCTCTGACTGCTTTACTCAGAATAATGCCTGCAAGGCCCATGCACACTGCTGCACGTGTCTCAGAGGCAATCATCATTCAAGTTTGCTGTCTGTGGGTCCCACGGATTTCCTTAATGTCTTCATGATGTATGTATGTGTCCCTAAGCACTGCCTGGTGCAGTCTTGCATGCTTGTAAGCTTACACGATTTAAACATTTAAACATAAAAAATGATAGTTCACTCATTTGCAGTGGAATTATCATAAACTATTAGGTATATATTCAAGAAATAAGCGAAGATTTTCAGCAGGAAGTTGATGCAGTAGGAGAGAAGTATATGGAAATTTTCAAATTGAAAATAAGCCAAGAAGACAGTGGATTTGACAGTAATTTAGACAGAGCCTAGAGAACACCTGAACTGAAGGCAGGACTGAAGCACAGGTAGTTGAAGGCGTTGGAATACAGGAGAGATCTGTCTGTCTGCTCGTTGTCCCGAAACGCAGTGGGTGCATCCGAGACTGGTACACCCTCCACCCGCGAGGCCAGCAGTTCTGAGCAGGTTGTCCATTCCTTTACTTTAACATGGGAATTTCATAAGCAACTTGCCCATCTCTTGACTATTAAAAAGACCTAATGTTTCTTAGTGGGGTTGTGTTCGTTCAGAAATTAACATAAGGAAAATTGGCATCCTTATGATGTTCAGTGTCCAAGCAAGGATAAAGGACGTCCTTTCTATTTGTTCAAGTCTTCTAATTTTTTTGTTTTTAGTAGTGTATTAAAGTTTTCTCACATATAATTTGCATATTTCTTGTTAAGTTTATATCTTGGCACTGTCATTTTTGTGGATATTTTAATTTGCCATCTACCTCCTTTACACAGGTGCTATTTACTGCATTTGCCTTCATGCCTCCCTTTACCAGAGGTCCCTGAAGGCCCGATTCTTGTTCAACTTCATGGTTTCATGTTTTCAGTGCCTAGCAAAATGCTGTTACTGAATGAATTTCTATTTTTCAATTTAGAATAGAAGGCAGGAAAATTAAGCAGTTTTCCAAGGGTCACACACTCTTAAGAAAAACTAAAAACACATTCTTCTGAGTTTACAGAAATATTCAATGTATTGGAATCACACTAAATCCTCCATTATTTGTATATTGTAAGATGTTTATTTTACACTTTAGACTTCATGAATAGTCGACTTGTGTGAAAAAATAGAAATATTTCCTCATCCAAAATGCTCATGAGCATTTCTTCAATATTATCCACAATTTGGAAACTTTTTTAAGGGTTTCACTTAGAATTAAAAATACTTTTAAAAAGCTTTTAGGCACCATTTTAATTTTGTGCTTGCTATCTATAGTTCAAACCATGTTTTTCCCATGCTGCTCTTCAATTTCAGTTTCCTCGATTTCTTGCGAATTTAATTTCCGAGCTAATCCAGGGTCACACTGAGTCGGTGAGGGAGTTTGGGACTCCACCACGGTGCTGCCCCAGCACAGCTGCCCCCAGCACTTCCTCACCCTTATGCAGACCCACCTTGATTCTGTTTGAAGGTGGCTTCAGCCAACAGCTTCCGGAGGCCAGGCTGCAGGGTTTCCTGAAAACATTTCCAACGAAGTAACTAACTCCCCTGGTCGTTAGGGGCAGAGGACAGCCGGGTGCCCGCCAGCACTCCTCTGGAAAGGTCGCCGCGGCCCGTCCAAGGGCTCAGGCCAAGGGTGTGCTCTCCACACCAGAAGGCGGATTGCTCTGCATGGAAATGGGGCACATTTTAAATATGTCACAGGGAATTATTAGATGGTCACTCTTGCCAAAAGTCTGAGAGGTGAATATTGGCCATGGTTCTGTGGGCAGTGTGCTGGGGAGTTCAGCCACCACACATGTGCTTGCAAGTTACGCACAGGGCCTTGCTCAGAGTTCATTCACGCTGTCTCGCCTGAAAACGCTCGGCCGGACTCCGAGGGTACAGAGCAGGGGCCGCACATGTGGTGCCGAGAGGTGCTGAGTTCTAGCTCCTGGCTCCTGGCCGGGGCTGCATTAGACTTCACTCGGCTTCTGTAGAATGGCGCACACTGATTTCCAGGCAAAGGCAATGCACAGATTTCTTTTTGAGCTAAATTGTTATCTTTTAAAATAGCAACTGTTTCACTGATATTGGTGATGGGTGAAATATTTAGTTGCGATATTAATCTGCTTTTCGGAAACAGTTTCAGATGTTAAGTCTGCATTTTCCTCCCTCCTTCCTTCCTCCTCGCCTTCTTCATTACGAATCTCCGTTCTCTTTTGTGTTCCTAATCGTCGGATGAGCTAGGGTTTCCGGTGAGTGTTTTCTGGAGCTTCCAGGGAAGCTGGAGAAGGCGCCACCGCTCGCCGCGTAGCGCCCAGAGCGCGAAGCCCCGCGGCTCTGCTCCGCCGCAGAAGGGCCGCTCTGTGCGCGCGCGGCGGCCTGCTGGCCCGCGCCGACCCGCCCGTCCCGCTGCGACGCCGCCGCCCCGCGCGCCTGTGCCCGCCGGGCCCCGCCCCCGGCGCCGGCTCCTCCCCGGGAGGGGGTGGGCTCGGGCCCCGCGCCCTGGCCCTCAGGTCCTCCCCTCGCCGCGATCGCTTCCCGCCTGGCGCCCCTCGGAGTTCGCGCGGAGGCCACAGGGCGCGTACACGCCGCCTTCTTTTGCTGATAACGGAGTTTTCATCAATTTTCAAAAATTCAGTTTTTATGATTTTATCAGTACTAAAAATTCATTATGAATTCGAAGAAAAATATATAGATGCCACCTCAAAACACATTGTTTCAGAGATGTATTTGTTAGAATAAGGTAAAAGGCAGTCTTTAAAAACCTACTTCATGCAGACTGTACAAACGGCGGGGATGCGCGCTTAAATACAGGCGAATATTTCAAAACTTCAGTAACAAATCGCTGCTTATGTTCTGAATTTTGGGTCGTATGAATGAAACATAATAAAAAAACGTGTATTTCCTGAGTCTCGTGTCCATGCGCACCCTGGGATCCGCACCACGATACGGGGAAGACCGATTCTGGCTGCGGGTCGTTTTCACTATGAAAAGTTTCCACAGCAACAAAATCCTACTTGCTTTTGGATGCATAAAGACACCCGAGCCACTGGAATCATGCTGAAGATTTACTGTAGCAGTAAAAATAAAATTGTTAGTATGTCAAGAGCAGGTATTACAATCTCAATTTTATAGAAAGTCACATAAAACATTTCAAATTTGCACTTCATAAATATTTTCTCAAACCAGGTGGCAGTAGTGAATGAGAAACAGAACTTTCATGCTCTCTCTCTGAATACCTTAAATAGCTCAATACACAAAAGAACAATCCATTGCTCTGGAAGGCTTTTGGAAAACAAGTATTTTGGGAAATAGTTACTTTCTTAATTTTGGTTATAAATTTATAAGAAATTAATAAGACATACTGATAAAATAATTGTGACTTTTCAAAACCATGAACTGATACTTGGAGAATGGCTTAACATCAAACCAAACAATTTAATTCTCTTCGGAGATAGAGCCATATTTGTCCTTACCCTAGAGTAAATGACATTTCAAAATCTGTTGCTAACTCTTTGTAAATCTCTACTTTTCCTCATTTGGGAAATATCTTTAAGTTTCATTCTGTAAAACCCAATATATATATATTAAAATATTTTAAAATCTTTTTATTTATTAAAAAAGTACTTTTTTGTACTCCAGCTTACATGTAAATATTTGCTGTTTTGTATTTATGTCAAATGATTCCAATTTTCCATTTAAGATACCAATATAAGGTTTCCCTTTGGAGTGTTACATAACAAGGAAGATGGTTCCCTAATATGGTGAAAAAAAAATATGTGGACTTGCACATGATGAATGAGACACAGTCCCTTAGGAGATCCAGACACCTGCCTTTAAGAAAATATGGCACATATGTGTGATTCAGATGATTCCCGAGGCTGACGTTAAGGAGAGATGCTGTCAGTGCCCTAGAACTGCTGAAGGAGGTCCCACAGCCATGGACACCCATCTGAAAGTCGGCTTCAGGGCTGGCTCATCTTCTCTAAGGCACAGAGGAAATGAGCCATGAACAATCAGCAAAACATGACAGATTTAATTTCACTTAAGTCAAATCTGAGACCTTATAAATAAACACAATCTGAGAAACACAATGGCCCAGACTGATATTGGTGTTATGGATGATTAGAATAATAATTGGCTTTCCTGGGCCTATTCCTACTCAAAATTTCATTAGCATTTTATCAATTTCAGTATAAACGT